TAAGAACAATTAATGTTGTCCCCCATTATTTAATCACCAATCAAACTAAACCAGTTAATAAACACAAATGACCTAAAGCTTAATATATTTTATTGATTGATAAAATATGTGTTTTTAGGTACAAAAAAAAACTCAAATGGCGTCGCAGAACGTCACTGATCTCGGCTGCTAAACTTGAGCTTAATCTTATGTGTTCAGTATGTTTGATATAGTTATAAAAGACAATCAGGTGGACAGAAGAAGTCATATACTTATAGTTTATATTGATGGATATTAAAACTTTGTATTAACGGTTGTGTTAATAATTAATTAAACACTTTATCAACACTCCACACTCGTTTGTTTAATTAACATCTACTGGTTAGCGTTTAGACATTTTCTGCCGTATTTTAAAAATCCATAGGATTTCTTCAGTAAAAATTACAAATCACAACGTTTCGCTGTGGGAAAATAAAAAACGGAAAACTTGCGGTAAAAAGACAAAAACTTTATCGATTTTATGAAATAGCTCCGAAGACTTTTTCCGGCCGTCACTTCAATTACTCGAACGTGATCTATTTGTTTCGGTTTTTGCTGGTAGCACAAAGTCTTACAAAACACCACCAGCTGATACGAATCGCCCTATAAGTCGGTGTGCTTTAGGCAAGTATAAATGTCAATTTTTTTAAAAAAAAACCCAGTTTTTTCTCTTTGAGAAACACGATAAGAAGTTCTATTGAAGAGAGAGAAAGAGAGAGAGAGACATGATATTTTGTTGACTTTAAGCAACGTCGTTTGGCTGACAACCATAAATAATTAAATTATTAACAAGTGTTATTTTTTTTCGTTTTTAACGCTATATTCAATAACTTCTCGTTGCCACGAACCTAACCTTCAATCTATAAGGCGTATCGGTATCATAGCTTTTGGATTTATCTAAAACGTGCGCCAAAACCAAAGTGTCGTTATTTAAACACAATAAAAGCAATAAAAAATGTTATCATCGAAGTCCTGTTTTCATTAGTTGTCCAAAGTATAGCAGATGTTCTCTATTGTTTTAGAATTTGTACATTGCATATTTTCGCATTTGTTCGGAATACTCGGTTTTGAACTTTTACGGCAAACTTCCGTCATAAATACAGTTATTGCGGAAAAGCGGTATATGTATACGTATATTTGTTTTTATTAAAACTTAATTTATGCTCAAAAGCTTGGCATCAAAACCCCAGGGTTAAATTCCATACATATATATGTATACATGTATATAATATAGTCTCATTATAGTGCTTATCGTTATGGCCACTACACGATTACCACTTTGGGCGACGCCAATAGGTTTTCCGTGTTGAATGTTATTTTAATACGGCAAAAGTAGGGATTTTGTTTTTTCGGTGGACGCTGAGCGGCGATGAGTCGTGTGACCTAAATAATTTTATTTAAGTTGTACGACCTTAACCATTAGTGCACACTACGGCACGCATCCCTCTGCGAGACATAATTTATAAAGTATCCCGGTTGGCTTTTAGCCATTGTTTGATACAAAATCGCTGTGGTTAAATTTCTGTAACAATAAGAGCTGTGCCTTTGAATCTCTTGGAAATTGTATACTATTTTATGTTACAAAAATCACAAAGCTGTGTGTATCAACACTATCACTAAACTGGAGTCAAGTGTCAACTAAGCTTAATTGTGCACAAATACTATGAATATCATTTCACACGCCCGTCGCCAGTTTGATTTAAAAATAAGTACCGACTTTCTTCAAGCGCGTATAATTAAAACCGAAAATAATAACTATTAAATACCTAAAAGCTTTGTTAAATTATTTAATATCTATGATGATACTAGTAATCAGAGGCAAGTTAGCATATTTTTTGTTATACTATAACATTAGGTTAGGCCGTACAATAAAATGTATTAATATTTCCAATAAAAGTAAAAAAATAGTATTATCTCATAATAATAATATTTGAAGCGATTTGAATTTAATATTCACATTTTTTATAGCATGAGATTATATTTTTTTTTTTAGGAATAAAATTACTTTTACAGTTTGTCCATCCCTATTCTGATGTTTTTATTACCGGCAGTAGAGCTATAGAGGCGTTTAATTTTTTTTTAATGAGTCTGTTATAGTTAACTTGTAATGCCCATCGACAACCTGCTTTGCGCAATTTAGTTTTCTACTTAATCGTTGACACAATGGTTCAGATCTCAATATTATTTTCGAATAAAAATGTTTATTAACTAAAAGCAATCGATTAATGTTATAAAAAATAATTGAAATTTCTATTGGACTAAGCACTATACACAGTTGTTTGAGATATAATTTTAATAAATGATTGAGATCAATATTATTTAATTACAGAATAATTAAAATATGTTTCATTGCCAACGTTTGTAAGCTGATTAAAAACGACACAAACATGACATGACAGGATTTTAATGGACTATTACTATTTGTTTTGCTGGTTCATAATATTACAGAAATTCTCGGAAGTTGACATAAATTATAGCACAGACAACAGAAGACTGTGAGTGGAGTTTGCATTATCAGAAGTATTCAAACTACAGCTGTAGTTGAAAAAAATATATATCATTACACGTTGGAATCATGATTTGTTTTAATTAAACAGATTCCACTTAAAATATGTGGAGATTTAAAAAATAAAAACATTACATTTTTTACAAACTCAGCAGTGAAGTATTTTTATGTACATTTTATTACACTACAATGATATCAGTTTTTTTTGTTTGGAGTTCACGGTAATCGTTATTCATATGCAAGTGCTTCGATCGTTACCTACTGTGCACACACGGTAAAGTAACCAAACATAAAAATATTCCAAATATTCAACGAAATCGGCTTACGGTTGAAAATGGATGCCACTTACAGTGGATATAGAGATTGTGGTCTGTAGTCGATCATAGTCTCTATCGTCGTGATAGTTTGTAGACCCTTTTAGATACAATAAGCGGATCAATGTTTTATATAGCTTTGTCAGTGCATGGTTTAAAGATTGAGAATGATCATCAGGGCAATACGCCCGTAAAGGTACAACAGTAGGAGATACGAATCGCCTCCAAACGAATGACACTTAATAGTCACATACATTTATTTTTCAAAAGAAACTACAGTCAATTTTAGAGGTCCCCGTCATATAATAAGGCTTTACACAGCAGGGAAAACCCTAATACCCAACAGCTACAATCTTTGTTTCCCTCGTAACCACAATAACCACATATTTTTTTAATTAATGTCTCACAGAAACACCCACACGTTTTCCGTAGCTTTGTTACTACAATTTGATTAGTATTTTGAGAAAAAAATTATTCTTTTCAGTACTAAAAAGTACTCGGTCCGTCAACATTATTATCCATTCTTAAACGTGTTTCCTTATACTACTGTTTTTATCACCATTATGTAAAAAAAACATACTTAAATTGAGACTTGGGCATAAATTTTGTTTTCAGAATTTTTCTTCCATAACTCTTAACTATTCAAAATATTATTTTCATTTAAATATTTTAAACATTAGCTATTGTTATTAATGAACTTCGGCAAGCTAAAATAATTTACTTATATTTTAGATTATATACATAAATATTATAAATTCGTTCTTAAATTTTGCCTTTAAAGTTGTATTTTTAGTCCGTTTTGATTTATTATTCTTTTTCTCACGAAATTGATTAATTATATTTATCATTTGAGATAGTTTATTTATTAAAATGAGGACATTATATACATTGGGGCCACTTTCTAATTAATTTCAGACCTTCATGCATAAAACTGCGTTCAAAATAATATATTCACAATAACAACTTTTCCTTTCTTTCGATTTTTGATCAATACAGGGTAAGTATAAAAGTTCCGGTTCAGCGATTTCAAAGATATTGTGTTCACAAACACACAGATACACCCAAATAAAGGAAATAAAAATAAAACACTTCTTTCTGAAACCAATACCATTTTCAGTTGCCGCATCGAAACTATACAACATTGGATTTTGAACAGCTATTTTATAATCAACAAGTTGACCAACTAAAGTAATTATTTATCTAGCAAATATGAATTACATAAAACTGTTTATGTGTGCAACACACAGATACACACAACAACAACACACAGCAGAATATAATTCTTTCAGTTCATCATCGAAGGAAATATATTACTTTAAAACAGTCTAAACAAACTTTGTTTTTTTTAAAAACAAAGTACTTTGTTATTTTCTTGTCGAAGAAAACCCTTAATGCTTGTGAATTATACACCTCCTTCACTAGCTTTACTTTTCCACTTGCACATTTAAGATAAAACATATATATTCATCAAGTTAACCCAGTTAATTAGTGATATAAAATTTAGTATATTATACAAGGACTACACTATATTAGGTTATACTAGGTAGCTTTGTATTCCCTCTGGCGCATTACCATTTCAAACTTAATTAGTGTGAAGTACCTAACCCGGTATAAAGTAATCACAGTACGTTGCAGAAATATGATACTTAATAATCTATATCGAGTTTGATTGTTAATGAATACTTCAATCTCGCTAATATTATAAATAAACAGTAATACCATCAAAGCACTTGAACACTTGTTATTGAAGTATTAGCATTTTTTTAGTTCTATAATATATGCTTTATTAATACAATGTATGCTTAATAAATTGATGTAACTTTTTGTTGGTAAATTTTTAGGAGTACAATTTTACTTAAAAAACAACTCTTCAAATCGTATAATTCGATTTTAAGAGATTAATTTTTCATTATAGAATAATATTCTTAGAAACTTAAGTATACTATAGCGAGTAGGTATGGAATTGAGCATTCAGTTTTTCAAATATTTTCACATCAACAAATTAACATACAATAATATAAGTTTTTTTAAGAAATACTTCAAAATCTTAATTTTATATTAAAATGAATACAAATATAATGCCCAAAACGCCCACATTATGCGATTAAACATAACGTCAATTACTATTATAATAACACGTTTTTTTTAAATTTCTGTTTCAGTGAACTTCAATCATTTTGAAATATTGCGGGCAATCGGCAAAGGAAGTTTCGGCAAGGTAAGTTTCATGTTAGTTCGTTAGTGAAAAGCCTAGTTGGCTTAAACCTTTCAACGCCAATAGTTTACTGAAAGTTTCTGGTATGAGAGGTCTCGACGAACTTGTGGTTAATTAATAGCATTTAATTATTATTAATTGACATTAACGGATCAATGACTCGGTTCTACACTATAAACTTTTAAATCAGTCACTCAAGTGTACGGCGCAATGCGTATTAGGTACAAATTATGTATGTAATACGAGTTCTAACTTAAAACCTTGTATTGCTAAATGAAATCTATTTTATTATTTAATCATCATTTTTACCGCGTACGTTTGTTAAGGTGTTTTATTTTTTTGTACTAGAAAATAATATTTGTACAACAATGACAAATTAGGGTGACTGTTCAAGTTTGTTTGGGTTATAAATAATATGTTAAGCGTGATATGTTATACTCGGTGATGAATTCCTTTCGCTGACCGAATCGATTAAATTATAATTTATGTAAAAATATGAATCCCGTTAAAATTAGGTTTATACATTTTTCATGGCAGCACGTCCACGGTCCGGCAAGGCATTCATAGCTGAACCCCGTTTTAGTTTCCAGATCACGCATTACACAATTTTTTTTTTTGTGCAATAAAAGACGGCCGAGTGGTAAACGATTATGGTGGTCAAAACACCCAAGTCGGGTTTATGGTAATAAATTCAACTTACTTTTGAAACAAATCGATTTTACGACGGATAAAAAAGATAAAAACATTTCTCACAAATGTCTGTTTTATTTTTCAAATGACTCTTTTTCCTTTTCTTTTTTTTTATGCACACCTATGATCGTTATTTGTTTACCCGTAGCGAAAACTAACGACAGAAAATATGGCCTAACATTTATTATAATATATTCTTTGAGGAAATTTTTCGCTGAAAGAAAAGTCCTAGTAACATAATAACAAAAAAAAAATGTTCATTTTTATTTTTACAGGCCATATTAGACTCTGTGCCAGGATTTCAAATTGCTTTCATTTATATTGTCTATCTTTGACGCTGTTTGATCTCCATTTATTTTAAATTTAGGTTTTCCCGACTCTGTCCGTCTAGCGTTCACCTTTGTCTGGGGCGATTGCTAAGTTCCTTCGAGTTCAATTTTTTCATTGCTCCTTCTGACCTCTACGCACTAAATCAAATGCCATCATCGCTGTGCTCGTTAATACTTGATAAGTGTTATTACCCCTAAATACTTCCTGTTAACCGGCACTTATCTCAGTTTTATCTATACGGTATAATTATGCAGATCCAAAGTCATTGTTACTTACATACATATTTCTTTAAATCAACGTGTATTTTTATGTTTACCTCAATTTTTACTCGAGGAAGTTTTACTGAATATATTTAGTAAATACTATACATTTAATACAAAAAATACTATCTGAATATTTATTATAAATAAAACTTGAATAACATTATTTTGTGTTCTATACAATTAACAACTTAAACTTCATCTCTGAACTACCAATTACCTACGTTGTCTTAACTCTTAAACATTGCGAGAGACAAATAATCCATTTAAGCTAAACTTTGCATCATTAATCATGTCTGATACTATTTGCAAATTAAACTTTTAACTGAAGTCCTTTGTCAGATTATGCTTTGGGCATTTTTTTTTTAGGTGAGCGAAGAGTTTTATATTAAAATCAAGCTACTTGTTTAGTTGAAAAAATATAAATATTTATACATTAATTGTATTCATATACAATTTCTTGTATTATGATATTTTGGATTGAATTTATGCATAATGAATGTCATTAAATATTCAGAATAATTACTTTGTTTTGTATTGTAATTTACGACTAAGGTCAACAAAGTCTCGCGTTAAGCCATTAACCTGTACAAATTCAGCAAACACTCAATGTAAAGTAGACAGTAGTACAAATTTGTATGTAAATTTAGTTTCCTAAATTTAAAAATAACTATAAGAAAAACAAGAAATGCTCAACTATAAGTACAGTAAGAAATAATAATACAAATCAAATAAACTTTTAAAAATGCATTGATCAAGATCGACGGGGAATACTAACCACGGTCACAGATTGATATTCTTCAAATGTAGTATGTGTAAAAAGAACTATAAACAAATAATAATATAAATTACGAATAAAAAAAACAGTATACGACTGATATAATGCGGTTACTAGATACTAAATTAAATTTTGTTTTAAATTAACTAAATAACTATAAAGATTAATAGATTTAGATATTACAAGGATGGATTGGGCTTTAAGCATAATACATAAAGACTATACCTATGCAAAAGAAAATCTTTAACAAAACGTACGACGATCAATAATTCCAACACAATAGGCTAATCAAATAATCTCTAAAGCCGACCTGTTATAGGCACTACGTTTATACGACGGCAACAACACCGCACATTATTTATCATAGTTTCATACAGATTAAAATGATTAATTGTAAATATTTGTTATGTAATTTGTAAATTTACTACAATATAACACGTCATATTATTTTAAAAAATACGTTGAAAAAGCGATATTTGTATAATCTTGCTTTACTTTGTAGATTTGTATTGAGTAATTTATATATTGTACATAAATATGCAATGTTACAACATAATACATAAAAAGGTATAAATATACTACTCCTTTAAGCATACGCTTGTATGTTTATTTTTGTTTACCATTTGAGTTTTTCTTTGATAATACTCGTAGTTTATGAATATTGATTTCTTTAGAGCAAAGTAAAGTAGTGCGTATTGTTAAACCTATAATATAAATAGAGCCTAATAGTAACTATTAACAATAAGCAACAAATTAATATTTAATAGTTGTGCCACGATTGAAATGTTTACAAAAACATCATTACAAATTGAAAGTAGGTCTTAGGAGTACAAAACTGAGGACTATAGAACTCATAGTATCGAGAAAATGTCATATTATTATATATATATATATATTACAATATGTACACGTGTGTATATATTATATATAATATATACACACACATAAAAGTCTCTGTGGAACTACAGAACCGAGTACATTATTTGTATTATTTATGATGGGTATAGAGAACCACAACCGATATCGATTCTTTAGTTTAATAAAAATACAACCAAATGATGTGATACTTGAATGCGCTTATTTTTTTATTTACATTATTATACTTGAATACACATACTACAGTTATTCGTTAGTCCCTAGAGAGACCTTTCGACAGCACACATGTGTGACAATTTCCCCTTCGTGGCCAACGTGTGTTGAACCAGGTCTATATAGGGCAATCCCAACGGTATGCCGATGTTGTAGTGACAGGTAAAAACGAAAGGAAAGACAAGCTGATGATCGCTAGTCTGGCTGGTATGCAATCGGCAGCGTTCCACTAACGTTTGCTTAATATGTAAATTTTCACGACACTAAGGACTGTCGGATTATCATATTGTATGCGAGTATAACAAACAAGAAGACAACAAAGAATCGCATCGTAAGTTGGTTTACCAAACTAAGGAATCGATATCGACCGGTGCCCGTACAGACTGTTTCAATTTGATAATCGCCTTCTTTTGTATAGAACGCGAATAGTACTTACCGGTATTTCTTGATCAAATTTTAGGTTTGCATAGTCGAAAAGAAAGATTCCAGACAAATGTACGCAATGAAGTACATGCAAAAGAGCAGATGTATTGAAAGGGACGCTTTGAAGAACGTTCTAAGGGAAATGGAAATATTAACTACGCTTGAACATCCTTTCCTAGTAAATTTGTGGTTTTCGTTTCAAGGTAAGTTTTTTCTTCATATAAATAGACAATATTATTACCCCTATGGTCACGAAGCTTTCAAATAATAAAAAAATCTCTATTAACATTCGGTCTTACTATAAAACAACAATATTATACTTGATGGTGACACAATATCATCAAATCATTAATTATACTAGTCAATTTTTATCTCTATACTATCGAACGTTGGGCGGTCCGATCAAAGCGGAAAGCCACGAAAGCATAACACATAATGAACGTTACTGAATTCAATACTAATATAAAACGGCGCCTCGTGTAGGCAATTTTGCTACTTGAGTACATTTTGTCGTATCGCACTTCATTTTGCGATTTATGGCACCACGTTTACGCCACTATTCATTTATTTATTTAGGACCCGGGATTAAAGTAGGTAGGAAATTCTCCCTAAAGCCAAACTTATTATACTCATTTAACACGGAGACAAAGAGAAAATATCCGCATTAAAGGAACGTTTCCGATTTTTAAACGCACGCCGTTTTTTCAATTCCAAAAATACCTGTATTTCGAGAGATATACGTTTTCTGCGAGCTTTACCGTCTTTTATTACATTTATATTTTATTTATAAAAACTTTGGTTGAAATGAGCACTATTATTTTTGTTAGGTTTCGTTTAAAATTGTTAGTTGGGTGTTCTTAATTTATGAATTTCAATTATTATTGGTACAAGCAAAACGCTCGTCGCATGTATACCTACTGTTAACAATAATTATTACAATGTAAGAAATATTTTGATATTTTATAATAATAACTATTGTAGACGAAGAAGATCTTTTTATGGTGTCTGATCTGTTATTGGGCGGTGACCTGAGGTATCATCTCGGTCAAGACGTCAAGTTCAACGAAAACTGTATTAAACTCTTTGCTTGTGAAATCGGTTCAGCATTGGAGTACTTACAGAGTGAACGAATTATTCACAGGTAAATATATATGTCAACTGTATTGTACTTAGGTGAGTTAAGACAGAATATGTTTATTTCATACAAAAATAATATATTATCAAATATGTTATAAGCATATTTTAAATTAATATTATGTGATAATAATAATTCTGGCCGTGTTCTAGTTACTATCGATTCTTACTTCTCTTAAAAATTTGGACCGTTATAAGTATTTTGCTTCTAAAGGTATTCAAATAAATGTTGAGTTATTGTATGTTATTTTTTTTTTTAATTATAACGACTGTTTTTGAGTAACTTGCTAAATTGCGTTATTTGATTTTATATTTTCAAATGAAAGTTAATTTTAGGTTTTTATCGAAAATGGCAAAATGTCACTTGTAATCTTTTGGTTCTCGTCGATTCACAAACAAGTATTGTCGTTTCTTATTTCGGTTTTTTGGATAAATTATTTATCATTTATTTTCTGATGTACCTACGTGTCATCTTCAATCAGGATCTACCATCTTGTCACCAACAACTTTAGTATAAATGTTCGCCATACGCGACGATGCTCTCACGCACGTTTTTCTACTACACCACCTATGTGTCGTTAGTAAGATGATTAATGCGTCTGAGTTTTTAATGATACTACCACTTCACGTTATTTTAGACACATATTCTAGGTTGTCCACAACAAAAAAAACCGGCATCATATTTTATTTGTTGATTAATTATGCACGATTCTTCAGGATTTTTCTGGTTTTCGTTATACTTTACTGTCGTCAGCCAAAAAAAAAAAAAAAAACTCCATGAAGCTCAAAAATAAAACGACCCGTATCATTTTTTTGTTTAAATACGAGTCATCTGGAGTTCCTTGCTTTTTTGCACGACAGGAATGTAAAAAATAAACAAAACGACATGATTTATTTATGTTTTTAATATGAAAACGTGTTTCAGGGATATTAAACCGGAAAACATATTACTGGACGAAGAGGGTAAGGAAAATATAATATTTTATTGGATTTCTTAAACCCGCATGCATCAAACCCCCGTGTAAATCGTTTAACGAGATAATAACCTTCTTAAATGTCCAAAATGATACTTTGAAAAGTTTTTAGACCTCTACAACTTATTGTTGTTGTTAACTAACTTATTTTATTTGGTTTATTCAATTCTGTCTTTATAGTTCAAAACAAATAATACATCTGGCCGTGTTCTTATGCGGTCGGACAATAAAAAGCACGGAAACAAACTTATAACGATTATTATAATAAGTTAACATTGATATGAGAATTTTATCCCCATAAGATGACAAATATAATATGGAATAATATTATGTTGGTGCATGTTACCAAAAAAACCTCCGACAAAGTAACTGTGATAAATTATTTTTTTTATCCATTCAGGTCACGCACATATCACGGATTTCAACATAGCCGCTACTCTAATCGATAAAAAAGTAGCGACGTCTTTATCTGGAACAAAACCCTACATAGGTATTATATTTATATTTTTTATAATAGAGTGTACATTTAAACATATTCGATTACTGCTAATTAACATTATGTCTTTCAAGTATTATGAAGCTTGAATAAAACATGTAATACTTTACCATGTGTTTCCAAATTAAATGTTAAACTGTCTGGAAAAACATTTGGTGTGTCTAAGAACATACATTTAATCCGATTAGCTGTTCGACGACTACGTGACTTTTGGATTTAATATTTTCGTACTTTTTGTATTTTTATTTCTGCATTTCCAACCAACAAATAAGAAGTTTTAAAAACATGGAAAAGATTACAAAAAAAATAATTACACATTTTACAGTGTTAAATAAAAATATAATACATTAATAATATATATATAATTGATTACAAGCAAGTAAACGTGTATAATTTAATTTAAACAGTACATTGTAGATAGTTTAATTAATATTATAACTAATAGTATTGGGACACTAAAATAATAAATGTGTAAAAAACATTTTTTAAATTATTTTTTTACTTTCTTTGATTATTTTGTTATCTTTTATATATATATATTTTTTTTTTTAATTTCTGTCATAGTTTGTATCAATTGTATTATTATTACTGTACTTTCAGGTGTATATAAATAAATAATACGACGTACGAATAATGAGTATATTTTTATAGTTAATATTTTTACCATAAAAAACTAGTTTATGTTTACATTTTTTTCTCCAGCCCCTGAAGTGTACTTGTGCTCGTTGGGTGAATGTCCCGGTTACTCGTATGCAGTCGACTGGTGGTCACTAGGTGTTACCCTTTATGAAATCATGTCCAGATGTCGACCGTACGACATACATTCAAATACATCACCTCGAGAAGTTAGGACTATGATTATGAATTCAACTAGTACTACACCAATACCACCGAGGTGTTCCGATCAATTGGGAATACTCTTTCAAAAGGTGAGGCTTATCAGTGATGTAACCAAAAACTGTTGGAAATTAAAATTGTGTAGAATACTGTGTGCTGGAATGTATTATTATAAGACAAATTATCGTTTATACAAATTAATGGACTCTAAAAAAAACTATACATTTTTTTACAAACATACTATAACTTTCCATTCGTCGAATAGCTTTATTCGTAACTTTAACTAAGATGATTTATACATTTATTGTTTATAGTTTTTTTTTTATTATTGTGATTAACTATTGTCTAGATTGACCTAACTAATGACCGTTTTCGAATTTTTTTTCATGCTCGGTTTTCATGACCGTATAAAATACTTCAATTAACTTTCGATTATCTGTCCAACGCAATATATCTGATTACAATAGACTTGGACGGCAATAACCGGACATATAGACTGTACATTAATTATGGTGGGTATATTTTCATTAGATAGGAGGCAATTTACGGCAATAAAACATAAGGAGAAACTATTTAGTTTTCGAGTATAGAGACGATAAATGATATATTATTAATAACAATATCAAGTACTCTGTACTCTGTACTCTAAGCCTAAATGCATAATAAAACAATATAATAATATTTCGTTGTTTTCCATAAAACAGCTGCTGTGTATAAATCCTGAAGAGAGGATTACAAATGTAAAAAAACTGAAATCGGTTCCATGTATAAGCCGATACAACTTCGGAATGATTTTGGAAAAACAAATCAAACCATCTTTTACGCCACCGGTAAGATATTCTAGACTATATTATTTTTTAAATTTATAATTTACTACTTACCCGGGTTAGATATTAGGTATATGGTTCTTAAATAAAAAATAAAAAATTCTTATTACTTTCCTAAATAAACGAACGATGAAATGTTTTTTGTTATTTCAAAAAAAAACATTAATCAAGGATAACAGTAGTGTTAAGTACAAGATAAATTATTTTATTATAAATTAAATTAATTAATCGTTAAACGTTGTGAATTGGTAGCTTAAATTATGCAATAAATTGCTATTAGCGAATATATTGGACATGTTGATAGGAGGTATATTGTAGGTATTCTAGGTACGGTACAGGTAAACCAAGTAAGTAAGAGATTAGAAGTAAGCTAAGTAGATAAAATCATTTTTAGATAGAAAAGCCATTGCCGACTGGTTGACTCAATTTGATTAGGATAAGGCGCTGAAGAAGACAAATAATAATTCAGAAAAGAAACTTCATAGACCTTAAAGTCTAAGACTTTGCTTTAGTGTCATAATTAAAATCAATTCGACGTACGGTGTCCAAATTATTGTCCAACAAAGAAAAACATTAAAAAAAATATATGTCATTGTTTTTTTGTAAAACTATCTACTCGGTTTTACTAAACAATTTTAATTTGAACATTTTTTTTTTTCGTATTACTCAGCTTTAAAATTCGTTCATAATAATTTAATTCTGCGTGACAGAATTTTTACGGAGCAAAAAAAATGTGACAACGGTAGCTGTGCGTTAGTGTCAGCATAATATTATTTAGATATATTTTAGCAATTTAAATAATGCGGTAGAGTTGTATGATAAATGAACAATTTAAAAACTTTACACTATCCGATTGTGTTTGGCCGCGGCCCTATGAAATACATGAAATAAATTTAATACAAAAACGACGTTGTTAACAAGTACATTATAACGTTACAATAGTACTTGCTTACCTTTACTTTTCCACACTATATTACTAGCAATCATTTCATAGAAATACAAGCCAATCAAAATGGTCAAATTTAGGCACAATTTTTCCTGTCAAAAAAAATAGTTACTGTTCAATATGTATGTATATATTTACAGAAAGATCGGTTAAATTGCGACCCGACGTTCGAACTCGAGGAAATGATCGTCGAGCCCAATCCATTGCACAGAAAACCCAGAAGACTGGCCAAACAAAGGTCGTTGAGGAATTCTACTTCGAGCGAGGTAACTTTATGCTATTAAAATGCGATAACCGGTTTCATAGCCAAACGTAGGGGCCTATTCGCCGTGTACAGACAAATTTAGTCCCAACATTTTCGGATCATGCTCTATGATAACTTAACCATAAAATTCACTCCTATAATTTATCCCACGCAGGACACGGAAATCAACCGGCAACTACAGCAGTTCAAGTTTTACAACCGCGAGAGGGAACTTGAAAGGCGAGAAATGGAACGCAAAGAGCACGATTGGGAACAGGAGCTGATCAAAGCCATGAATGCTTCGACGATACCCGCAATGTACGTCACGATATTTAAATGCCGTTACTATACCTCTCGTACTTAACCGTATACTCGTGTAAAATGCTGCAAATATAATAATTGGTTTTCTTGGTCAATCCACAATAAGTGTGATTTTTGTAGCGAAAACGTCATCGCCCAATTATGATCGTCGAGTTACGTTAATTATTGTGTACAAAATCCGTGTTTTACAAGCTTAGAAAAAACAAACCGAAATACTTTTTCTCGGAGATTTAAACTTTGAATTTAGACACATATCGTTATCCTGTATTAATAGATAAATCATAAATTAATCAATTGCTGCTCAACTTCCGTGAGGCTTCTTATCAACTATTTGATTAAACGCAAAGTTTAATTGGAAACGATTAAAACGTGATATGACAATAGCTGTTCAGGACGTGTTCCGAACTAATACAAATAAACAATTATACGTAGACATTTAGGCATTATGATTAAATAACGTGCATCGAAAACAATTACATTTGTAAACAAACTCGTTTACAAAATGTCATCACTCCAAACATTTGAAGCGTTTAAGTAACAAACGGATTTCGATTGCAAACAGTAATTATTTTCTATTGAAATAATAATTTTTTAACGGTGACGTAATCAAATAGAAAGTACATTTAAATCAAATAACGACGTAGTTACTGTTAAATACAATCATAATATTATCGTCCAATTAATAAGTGATGAGTCATCATCATCACTGATGACAATGCATTTAATGTGTAAATTGTGTATTCGTTTATCTTTTTAAATATCCAAAATGAATACTAGCAAACACGATAAAAGATAATTATATAATGGGACGTTTTTAATAATTCCACGTACAATTAATATGCTACTAAATCTAGAAATAAACATTATAGGCAAATAATATATGATTCTGATTTCACTAAAAAAAAAATATGCAACGTCATAACACCCGAGCTTTTTCAATAACTACAATATGACTTAATGTGCTAATTGTGTCGCGTTTTCGATCCACAGAGTTCCCACTATGGTGGTGGGCACGGACAAGGCTGACCTGCTAACGGTACCGATGATCCAAAGCGAGCGGCGACGGTCCAGCTGTTGCAAGTTGAACATCAGTCCGGTCAGCATTCAAACTAGGCTTTCGGCAACCGCCCAGGCCGAAAGCAGTTGACAAAAACACGACGAACCGACAGAATGATCTGGCTTACGGCCCGTCTCGTATAATAGATTGTTATCTGCCGACTGTATTTTTGCGACGCCCGTCAAGTCTATTGTGATGAATATTGTTTCTTCTAGAACAAGTATACAGACACTCGGGGATACGACGACTGTCCCATTTTCTCCCCCTAAACGCTTTGACAAATCACAGCACAATATCCGTGCAGACTAAAATTAAAATTACAATTGAACAATTGAATCGTTCGTTAAAAACGACTAGGAAAAGTCGACTCGTAGTTTTTTTTTAATTTAAATTTGTTTAATTAAATCAAATTAGTTTCAACACGTTACAATCTATGATACACAGGTGTTAGTACTTATTTCGAGTACCTAATTATTTTATAGCACTGCCATTATTACACAAGATATACCTACTTTTCTAGACGTATACACGTTTGAATGTAATTTTATTACATACGAATTCTGTATATGTTGAAATAAAGCTAGATATATATATATATATATATAATAATTGAAAGTGTTAATAAACCTGTTTTAGAGATTTAATCTACTGAAATCAATATTTTCTTGTTCCGTAATTTTTAATACGCTATAATACCACAAAAAAAAAAAAATGTCAATATTGTTTATGCAAATGCATATTTACTGTAAGTTTTATATATTGTGTATCTATTTGCTATTCTGCACAGACCCTATAATATGTCAAATTAAAATAAACTGTTATAACATAATAATATTCTCGCATTGTATGTGTACCTACATAGTATTATACTTAACATTTAAATGTGCAATCAGTATATTGCTGTAGGGTATAAATAATATCATTAGGGAAATAAAAGTATTTTTTTCCAGTAGGACCGAACATGTGGGTTACTACTGTCATGCATTTTGGCAGCCTATGTCATTTGGTACCTGTATATGCTTATAATATGTTTCTTAAACCGTTTGCTACCCCAGTGTGTTTGTAATGGTGTATAATATAGCGCAATACCATAGCCTGGTAACAGCATATGGCTAAAACAAACTACCCTCTTATAATCTTACGCTTCGCATCGAAACTTAGGTGACACACACACGAAAGCTGCGACTGTGATAAATTGTACTTTTATTGTGTATTAAAGCGGCAATTGATACGAAAGGGTAATCATGGTAATGAATTCGTGCGACGCATCATAAGGTTTCGAAAAGTCTGAATAAATATTGCAAACGGGTGATGGTAATTGAACTTTAGTGGGCTTTAACGACGGACGGAGGCGTCAAATTGACTATATCCAACATATGATATGTACTTGTTGAGCTTTATATAAGAGCTATATTATTTTCATGATTTTAATCGTTTTTGATATACTTATACATCTTGTATAAGTTTGATGTGCACATCTCGAGAAGCATGATGTATTTTTTAATAATAATAATAGTAATTCATTTTTTGTTTGTTTTTTATTCACCGCTATACCTCATATTATTAAGTATTTTAGTTGGTTTTTAGTTGGCTGCTCAATTGCGAAATAAAGATTTATAGCGGTCATAATGCGCATAGACAAAGCTTCAAATAAAATAACAGCTTTTGACGCTATAAATAATTCGTTTGTTAATTTAGATTTATGTGTATGCAAAGAAAATGTTTTATAGAATTGCCGTCACTGTTCAGCACATAAAAAACCAACTATTGTTTGCCAGTTGCTTATTGTATTCGTGGAAATGTGCCCGTCGGCCATTATTTTTCGCCTCACCGTGAATTGTCTCAATTTTCCTTCCAATCGGCCTTTCTATTCGCTGAAAATCATTTTTGTATACACCAGCTGCTATCCACATTATATAGTCGCTAAACATTTGTCTAGCTTCTCTATGATGTTCAGATTTCACCCTGGCGTTTAGCGTTCATATCAGTGATAAAATAAAAATACTTAGTAAAAAAAAAAAAACGCTTCGACGTCAATTCAAGGATTTAACTTTTTACTCTGCTGGATTTACACTACCTATCCCGGAAACTTAGCTGAGTTGTTACATTTAACCGCCACTATCTTTACTATGTATTAGCATTAAAAAATTGGTTAATTATATGTATTTTATTAGCGCATAAGTAAATGCATATTTCAGTTGTTTTTAGAGAATTTACGGACCCTAAAAATAAATAATGTAACAATGTGTGTTGAATGTTGAGTGGAATGGATCCAGATAAAGTAAGAACTAGCGCGAATTGTATAGAAATAATTATAAAGTAATAATTAAAGACTTATTAAACACTGTTAGCTTGCTTACATGAAAATAATGTGAAAGAAAGATACCCTCCGGCTTCCGATAACCTTTTATATAAGACCAAAGAATGTTTTAGATACAATATTGTACAATGACAATATTACTATTGAAGTCGATTAACACGCGATAAAATTGGCCGTTCGACAAAAAGATTTTAAATTAAAAAACAAAAGAGTACAAACAAAGTGGTGATTCACTTCAACAAGTAATTTGTATATTTTTGTTCCCGTCTGTCATAGTTCCCAATGCATAATTTTTCGCATACATAGATTTTGCTAAAAATTAATTTAAAAAATACAATTAAATTGTATCATACACACTATGCACCACTTTAAGATTCTAATGAGTTACCACTGAACTCGCCCAAAGTTTAAGAAATAATAATATTTTCCAAATGTCTGGTAGAGAATTTGTTGTTATAATTTTTAGTATATATTTTGTTTGATGATATACTTTTTAGCTGTACAAATAACTAATAATTGTTTAAACACAACATTATTTATAACATTTTTCAAATAACAATATTGCAGTAAGAAACTAGTATAACAATTATATGAAATACATTTTGAAATTATACTGTTAAAATAATGTAAATCGCGTTGGGTTCTATCACTGGATTGCCTCCCTCCTCATATTATGGCTCGTAGCATAAGTATTCTTTAAATAAGAAAAATAATTATAAAAAATAATGAACGCTTATTTGACAGAATTAGCTGTTGTTAACGTATTATTTTTTATTCGATCAATTATCGGTCAGATAACCAATAAAGGTTATCCTAACAAATAAACAGTTTTTTATGTTTATTATTATTTTTTATAGTACGAAAGTGGGAATTTATTATGCTCGAAGTCAACCGCTAAGTATTCGTAGTTAATGTTTTACTTATTGCTCAAGTGGTCGGCATTAGTTTGGTTAAATCTTACATTAATAAATATAAAGTTTAAAAGACGGTAAAAAAAAATGAAGTTTTTTTTAATTATTTTGCAATTACTGTGTTTGATGTCGCGTTTAGTGTATTCGTCAAATGTAAATTCCGCGGCAGACCTGATCAAGGAAAATCCGGCCACTAATGGAACATTTTTAGAACCAGAGACTACACCAGTCAAACCCAAAGTAATCTATCCAATATGTACACCAGCACTAAATAGGCTCGGCGAATGTTATCGTCCGTTACATAATATATAATTTCATTTGTATTTTTCTGAATATTGTTTTTAAATAATAAATAATAAAATATACCATAACATTTGTTTAATTTGTATAAAATACCTATCACCCAAAGTAAATGAAAGCAATCGGTGTGTTTCTGATCAAATTTAGGTACATATTAGGTTTAGTTTTCCTAAACTGCTCTTATATTTTAAGTAAAGACGGTAGATGGTGCAAACGGCCATTAGTGGCCTGATTTTGTGTGTCATATAAACTTGAAGATCTGACAATATCGAAATTAAAAAAAAAAAAATAGGTACCTAAATCCTGGGATGACTAATGTGTAAAATGATTTACTAACGATAAATTACTTGAACACGGGTTTTGTACTGTCGGAATAACGTTGTTTACCAAGCTTGCACACACATTCTATAATGGTCATGTGATTCTTGACCGTTGGGCGAGTTCAGTGGTAAAACTCATTAGAACCTTGATGTGTGCGCATGACGTGTAACATTTTAATTGTATTTTTTTTTTTTTTTGCAAAATCTATAGTTGGGAAAACTTGTACTTAGACAAACGGAACAAAAAAATATACAAATTGCCAATTTGTAAGTGTATAAACGTTCGTCCATAAACTATGACGGGGGTACCTCCGTTGCCAGCGGGAATCCCACATGAAATCGGTCGCCGTTTTTGTGTACATGTGCAGGTACTAAAATCAACGATAAGACCAAAGACTGTACTAGATACAACATTGTACAATATATTAGTACTTTATTGTATTAGTCGCAGTGAAATATATTATTGAAGGAAGTGTACGTTATTGGAAAATGGAAATATACTTTACAGCTTGCAGCCATATACACTAAACTGGACCATACAATTTTTTTGACTATTTTGACGGTTTTAGGTGTTTTTATATTATGAGTACTACAAAAGGGTCTAAGTGACATTGTTCGTAGTTTTCAGTAGAGTTAAAATACGTTTTTTGGTGATTTGAAAACGATTGTTTTCAATTAATATTAACCTGAATAGTGTAAATATTATAAACCAATAAATCCTACTAATGTTCTGAAAATACTACACAATTACTATTATTTTAAAATTTAATAAATAATGTTTCATAAGTTAAATTGATTATCCTGTATGCGCGAATAAAATGTTAAATATCAACAAATTCCAAGACAAATTCAATGTAAGTAGATAAATATCAACAGGTAACAGTATAAGATTTAATAACAGTTATTTATTTGTTATCGTAATATTATCGCTGTTTTATTAGTATATTAAAAAAAAAAAAACGTTATTAGGACCACGTTAGATCTACTTACAGTATACTGTATAAATATCAGGCCTAAAGTTTAAAAATTATGACTAGAAATGGGCATTATCAAATTCAAATACAAATGTTAGGACATCCGTTTTTTTCAGATAGTTTTCTGATGGATTTTAATAAACAAAGGACAATTTTCATTTAGGATAATTAGTGTCTGTTTACTTTTCATAAATGTATCAACGATTCTCAAAGTCCTCGTTCGCCTCGTGTACGAACACTTTATTTAACATTTTATAACTATAGTGAAAACAAATATTTTTCAAATACCTAGTCAAATGGATAAATATCATAAGTCCAAACTCCAGGGACGGCGCTAAGGGGGGGCGAGGGTGGGCGGTCGCCCCCTCATAACAAATTCTTACCCTTCTCTCGCCCCCCCCAAATATTTTGCTAAATAGTATAATTTTAAATATTTGATTATTATTCCTAAAACCTAGATTTTGAATAACTGTATTTTTATATATACAAATTTAGTTATTACGGAAATTGTGAAAACAATAATTGTTGTTTTGATTTAAACCTGTTTATCTATACAAATTTAATTATTAGTTATGACATTGCCACCAAATGTGGCCTTTTTTTATCAATATATTTTGAGTGTTTTTGCAATCGGTTATCAATAATCCGTCGCCTATATAATTATGTGTTTTAGTGTATATATATATATATATAATTATAATATTTACGTTTGTGTGTGTGTTTTCCAAAAAATCAGTGTTTATTGACGGATTGTTTTGGTTTAATAGAATGTAGGTATAACACGATAACTATAATCTCCACTGACTGGTTGTTGGGCGTTTTATAAGCCTTCATTTTTACTTCGACTTTCATAGAGTACAATAAGAGCTATATGATGGCCGACAGGTAAAAATAACGCTTATTTAAAAAAGCTGCCTTACTTAAATTGTACACTAGTATATATTGTCCCTAAATCTGTAATAAATTCATATTTTATACTATTTCACTGATAAATATTAAAGTCATTCACTGATAAATCATTATAATTGTTTTTTATTGACAGAATTAGGTAAAATTATTGTGGTTGCTCCTCCATAAAATTCACTTGACCTTTTCCGCCCCCCTAGGAAAAAAGTTCTGGCGCCGTGCCTGTCAAACTCCAATGAAGTATGAACGCATCCAATATTGCATTACGCCAGTTGGGATAAAGTAGATACCCGGAGGTACAAGTGGCTTTTAGTAATAGTGTATAATAGTATAAAAGTCCATTGAAATGTTGTGGTTTTTGGTGAAAGTGGCGTTGTTTCTTATATTTTAGCGCTTTGGGAGCCCCTTGTCGCTCTTATCATTTATTGATAACGCACGATTTATCTTATATCATGTGCTACCGGGTATTATTTTTTTTATTGAAAAATGTATGTAAAATTAGGTAATAAGTAGTCATCGTGATTTTATAATAAATTACAATATTAATTAACTTTGTACTCCTGACTAAATTTAAAATGTATTTCGGTTTAAGTATTATTGGTAGACAAGCTATTTTTAAAAAATCTAATGTGTGGTTACGATGCATGTGCAGCGTTTCAAACAAAAGTGATATTAAACAGTTAGAATATATTCGTAACATTGGAATTTCAGCTCATATCGACTCTGGAAAGACAACGTTAACCGAACGAATTTTGTATTACACAGGTAAAATATCTAAAATGCACGAGGTCAAGGGAAAAGATAATGTTGGAGCTACAATGGATTCTATGGAGTTAGAAAGACAAAGGGGAATCACCATACAGTCAGCTGCTACTTATACAATTTGGAAAGACCATAATATCAATATTATAGACACCCCTGGGCACGTAGATTTTACCGTTGAAGTAGAACGTGCACTCCGAGTACTAGACGGAGCAGTATTGGTTTTATGTGCAGTGGGAGGTGTTCAGAGTCAGACATTAACAGTAAACAGACAGATGAAACGTTATAATGTTCCGTGTTTAGCTTTTATTAACAAATTGGACCGACTAGGTGCCAATCCTTATAAAGTATTAGCCAATTTGAGACAAAAATTGGGTCACAATGCTGCATTTTTGCAACTACCGATTGGAAAGGAAAGTAATGTTAAGGGTATTGTTGATTTAGTCCATAAGAAATCGATATATTTCAATGGGGATTTCGGTGACATTATTGAATATGGCGAGATTCCAGAAGATATGACAAAAGAAGTAGAAGAAAAACGTCAAGAATTAATTGAACACGTATCAAATGTCGATGAGAAATTGGGAGAAATGTTTCTCGAAGAAAAAACTCCTTCTGAAAAAGAACTAATCGATGCTATTAGAAGAACTTGTATAAGTAGAACATTTACTCCCGTTCTCGTTGGTACCGCATTAAAAAATAAAGGGGTTCAACCATTGCTGGACGCTGTGCTATCATATTTGCCAAATCCCGGCGAGGTAGAAAATTATGCTTTAAAAGAGATTGAGGACAATAAAATCGAAAAAGTTTTGCTGAATCCTTCTAGAGATGGTAAACACCCTTTTATTGCATTAGCGTTTAAATTGGAAGCTGGTAGATTTGGCCAATTAACATACTTGCGATGCTATCAGGGAAAATTATCAAAAGGAGACACTATTTTTAATTTTAGGACATCCAAAAAAGTACGCTTGTCTAGATTAGTTCGCTTACATGCAGATCAAATGGAAGAAGTTGATGAAGTTTACGCGGGTGATATATTTGCGCTTTTCGGTGTAGACTGTGCCAGCGGCGATACCTTTATTGTTGACAAAAAGTTAAATCTTTCACTTGAATCAATTTACGTTCCAGATCCAGTAGTTTCTATGGCTATTAATCCGGTAAACAATAAGGATAGAGATAACTTTAGCAAAGCAGTCGCCCGTTTCACTAAAGAAGATCCCACGTTTAAATTTCAGTATGACACCGACAACAAAGAAACTATTGTGTCTGGCATGGGTGAATTACATTTGGAAATTTATGCCCAAAGAATGCAAAAAGAATATAACTGCTCGGTCAGTTTAGGAAAACCTAAGGTCGCATTCAGAGAAACTCTAGTGTCTCCGTTTGAATTTGATTATTTTCATAAAAAGCAACACGGCGGACAAGGTCAGTACGCAAGAGTTATAGGCGTTTTGGAGCCATTACCTTCGAATGAAAATACAAATTTAGATTTCCTCGATGAAACGTCTGGACCTAATGTTCCCAAACAATTTATTCCCGGCATAATTAAAGGTTTTAAAATGATGGCTGAAAAAGGATTATATTCAGGACATAGAATATCAGGTGTACGTATGAGGTTGTTGGATGGAGCTCATCATATTGTCGACTCTAGTGAACTGGCGTTTATATTAGCTACTCAAGGAGCTATCAAACAAGCATACGAAGAAGCCGCTTGGCAAATATTGGAACCTATCATGGAAGTCGAAGTTGTGGTCCCTACGGAATTCCAAGGAGCTGTATTGGGTCAGTTCAACAAACGGAGTGGCATCATAAGCGGTAGTGAAGGAACGGCCGATTGGGTTACTATATATGCCGAGGTACCATTGAACTGTATGTTTGGCTTTGCGGGAGAACTGCGATCTTTAACCCAAGGTAAAGGAGAATTCAGTATGGATTATGTTAGATATTCGCCAACGACACCAGAAACACAAGAGAAAGTATTGATGAGTTATCTAGAGAGCACTGGTCAGCTTCAAGCATTCCTTGATGCAAAAAAGAATAGTAACAAATAATCATGATTTATTTAGGCAAAGGGTGGAAAAAAACTTTGGTTCTCTTAACCAACACCAGTGTTAAGTTATCAAAATTGTTTTCTGTTGTTAAATTAAACAATATTTGTATAAAATTGTAATATAATAGTAATTTAATAAACACTTCTATTAAGCTTTTGTTTTTCTTACATTTTGTTTTCTTTTATTTAAAAATAATAATTTAAAAAAACTATAAAAATTATACTATTAGTTATTTATAGTTTACACTATTAAACCCATTTAATACTAAAATATATATTTAAACATAATAAATAATAGGAATACATTTTTTTTGTTAGTTTTAACACATAATGTGAATAATTTTTAGAAAGAGCGTGCACATAAATAAATAATAGATAAATACATATTTGAAGATCATAAAATACATTTATATGCTATTTAATAGCAAAAAAGTTCTGAATTTAAAATTAAAATATAATTTGTTTAAAATATTAGGAATGATGTTAATAACATCGAAATACAAACTGATTGTACCAAATACGTAATCGTCTGGATGCAACTTCCACATGAGTCTCTAAACAAGTAAGGAATAAACAAATGTAAAGTTAAATGAGATATTTTAAGATACTTTATATATTACCTGAATATCATGTATTAAAAACATAGAAAATAACAATGCACCAATACTAGAAAATAATAATTCATACGTTGTACTACCCAACAGTATTTGAGCCATAACTCCAGCAGAAAATATTGTAATGATTAGTAAAATACTAAAAAATAAACATATTACATCAGTTACCTAATTATTAAATTACAATAATTATCAAATAAAACTCACAAATATTCGGTCAATGATAAGCAGACTTTATTGGTTTGGCCTATGTACAATGTGATTGTAGTCATTGCAACTAAAGTTAGTAATAAAGTTTGTAGAAGTGAAAATAGGTCGAACGAAGTGACTACAATACCAACACTACAAGCTTCAACCACCGTCTGTAAAAAAACAAAATAATGATAATAATGTTTGATGAAATTTAAAATCTTAAATTTATTTACTCACAAAAATAATTAATAACACAAGATTCGTTGGATAATTTTTGCGTTTCATATGCAAAACTATGAGAATAATTACATTTAGAACTAATGTAATTGATACCATGTAATCACTAAAATTAAATTTATAATAATAGTTAACAACAGGATTTAAACATAATGATGCAGTTTTGAAAATATAATAATACCTACTTACAAATTATAAATAAAAAATCTTATTTTTGGTGTGAATAAACAAAAAAAACCCATTACGTTGTAAGAGCAAAGTTGAAGTATTAGAAGTGTAAAAACTTTTTTCGAAAATGCTAAAACAAAAATAATATGTTAAATAAATTGAATAAAAACAAGTAAAAAACTTATTATTACCTTGGCATATTCTTAAAGGTTGTTTTTCCGTTTCTTCAGATTCTAATAAGTGATATAGAGTAGTTGTTTTATCACTACTTGCATTGGTGTAAATCATTCCACAACTGTTCGTGTATTCATTATCTAAAAAATATAATTGTGTACAATATTGCTTTCAATTTATTAAAAAACCTATGATTCAATATATAGACATTTTTGATTTCCTTGGATAATTAATCATAAATGGACTGACAAAATTTAGTATTGTAAAAAATCGATTTTAACTAGTTGCACAGTTCTACACTTCTGTATAACTAATTTTAAGTGTTTAGCAATTAGAAAACCTTGTGTGTTCCGAAAAAATGAAATACATTCTAAAAAAACTAAGTATGTATTGTACTATGTATCTAATTCGCAAACAGCTCGTCAAATTACATTGTTAATTATTAAGTATACTGGGAACTTTATTTTTAAAGTAAAGAAATACAGTAAACACAAACTTACCTCTGTAGTCTTCGTCCATGTCAAATCCGATAATAAAATAAGTTCATCCCTGAGTTAAAGACTTTGCAAAAGTTATTTTTGTCAAATAATACAATAGATAATAAGCAACACTTTAAATTAAAAACGGACAACGGTACTGCCTATTTAGGGTTGACCTATATGCTTATAATAAGTTTAAAAAGCATACTTGCAACTTGTCATTCAGGAAAACCTAAACGCGATAAGGAAGTTATTCTTTATCTATTATTTATCATCACTCATCTTGTCTAATTGTTCATAATTCGAAATTTTTTTTAGAATTATAATAGGTATAAGTATTTTATTTTCATTGGTATAACCCCATTGTTAACGTTTGTTTAGTTGTTTTGTTTTTATATTAGACTCATCTAAAAATTACAAATGATTTTAAGCAGCACATTCCTAAAAAGTACAAAATTTAACAAACACCTAGGTATAATATTTTAAGAGATTAAAATGCCGGGCGTGCAATTTTGATAAGAATAACGTGATAACGTTATGGTTATTGTCATAGATAATATATTATATAATCAATGATTTAATATACTAACACAGAATAGATATTAATATAATAATATTAGTATTTATCTTAAGTTTATTGTTGGGTACACTTCAAAAAATATAAGTGCACGTTTTTTGTTTTGACTATTCTAGTTTTCTAGTTTTGACAGTTTCTACTTAATACCTACCTTCTTAGTTCTCAAAAATCAAAATACCCTGGCAGGCAGTCATTAATGTCTGAAATTCAAGTCAAGATAAACTTATGATTTTGGTTCATTAATATTATCTCAAGTTTCAACAACTCTAGTCAAATGTACACAGACCGTTGTTTGTAAGAAATAATTTGAACGTAAGTTAAAATGAGTATGCGGTACATAACGTTCAATAAGAACGTAAATGTAAGAAGTGTATGGAATGTAATTATGTTAAAATATAATATTCTTCAACATATAAAATATACAAAATGTATAAACCCAAAGCGGATCAAGTTTAATAATAAGACTTATCAATCAAAACTATTGGTTAATAATGTAACTAAGAATAATGAAAGGGGTCAATCCTGGAAATGGTTGTTGGCGATTTCGTCTGTTTACGCTGGGTACAATAACCAAGGTAAATAATACTGTAATCGGCAAATGTAGCAGATCCGATAAATAAATTATTAATTTAAAACAGTTAAATTTTTCTACTTTTGTTTTAGACATATTTGAGCTAATAGATAATGGAAAAGTCCTAGATTTAGTTAGGTAAGATTGTTATAATTTGTTTTAATTTAAATACTATTTGACGTATTCAAATTTAGGTACCTTAAGGATAATCCTAAAGAAGTCAACAATCGTCATAAGTATGGTTGGGCTCCGTTGCATGTCGCTGCTGTAAAAGATAAATATCGCCACTTAGAAACTTTACTAAAATGTGGTGCTGATCCAGACATTGGTGATGGATTTTCAAACGTTTTCAATGTATCACGTAAATTTAATGAACATAGTACAAAAGGTAGTAGTATTATTAAAACATAGATGCATTATAAGGTAACTCTATAAATATATTATATTAAATGTTTTATATTTTCAGTTAGTGCTGCGAGGCAAGATGATTTTCCATCATTTTTCAATCCCAAAGCCACGGTTCAAGGTTTTACTGCTCTTCATTATGCTGCATTGTTGAACAACGTAGAATCATTAAGGGTACTAATGAAATATGGAGCAGATCCTTTCTTAAAATCAGTAACTGGTCATACACCAATAAATTTAACAACGGATGTCGAAGTTTATCGGATGTTACAAGAATATGAAATAAACGTAATTTCTTTCTCTGATGTATAAAAAAATATAGTTATTTAAAACCATTTGTTTTTCAGTTCGAAAACATTAGAAAACAACGTGAAACCGAAGAACGTAAAAATTTCCCCTTAGAGTTACGTTTGAAACAAAAAATTGTTGGTCAAGAAAGTGCGATCAAATCTGTAGCTGCGGGTACAGATTATTTTTATTATAATTACCTGAACAACACAACATAAAATATATTATACAACATTATAACATTGCATATTTAATTGAAACTTAGCGATACGGAGAAAAGAGAATGGATGGATGGACGAAGAACATCCGTTGGTGTTTCTGTTTCTTGGATCATCGGGCATTGGTAAAACAGAATTAGCTAAACAAATAGCCAATTACTTGCACAAAAACAACAAAGATGGTTTTATCAGACTTGACATGTCCGAATATCAAGAAAAACACGAGGCATGTACATTATTATTTATCGTACTCCTCAGTTCATAATTATATTTATAAAATATAATGTCCAGTAGTTGGCTTTATTTTTATATAGAATAGTATTATTATATGTTATGTAACTACTAATCTATCATTAACTCTTTGCTAAAGAAATCCTAATGATAAATATAATATTAATGGTTTAATTAAAAAATGTTATAAGTACATTTTTGGCTAAAATGTGTTTACTTTATAATCGAATAAAAAATAGAATGTTTTTAAAGGTAAGTAAACCAATAAGTTTCAACCACCAGAAAGCATAAAATAATTGCATCAAGTACTGTAAACAAGTATAAAAAAATATTTTAAAATGCTCTCCTGTAAAATTATTAAAGATGATAACTATTATTATATTCTAACGAAAGTAAAAAATTATAATTTGATTATTTAATTTATAGGTTTCCAAAATGATCGGCTCTCCTCCGGGCTATATTGGTCATGACGAAGGTGGTCTGTTGGTAAAACAACTAAGGAAAAATCCAAATGCCGTTGTATTATTTGATGAAGTCGATAAAGCCCATCGTGATGTGTTGACAATATTGCTACAGCTATTTGATGAAGTAATTTTCTATAGAACAGTAAAATCGTCACGGATAAGTCTACCTACTATAGCGATAGACTTACTAGTTATCCTTATCATCAAATTGTTATGCAACCTCATTGGAGGAGGCCATAATTTTAAAATCTTATTTTATTAAATGGTTAAGAAATATGTTTTTTTGTTTTTTGTTTTTTTAGGGGCGCTTAACAGATGGTAAAGGAAAAACAATTGAATGTAAATCTGCTATATTTGTCATGACTTCCAATTTAGCCAGCAATACAATTGCAGAACATGCTTTAGAATTACGTAAAGAACAAAGAGAAAATGATCGTAAGATTTCTTCAAATTTTAACAGCCTAATTAATTCATAACAAAACGTTTGGAAATATTGTTGTATGTTCATTATTTGTTTACTTGAGCATTCTCACTATTTTAGGTCTGTATAATAATATAGTTGAAAATAAAAATGATCGTGAAATGTTTATATCGAGAAAATTCAAAGACGAAATAGTAAAACCAATTTTAAAAAGACATTTCCAGCGTGATGAATTTTTAGGACGTATCAATGAAATTGTTTACTTTTTACCATTTTCGGAAATGGAATTAAAAGTTATTGTACAAAGAGAATTGATACAGTGGCAAGAAAGGGTAATTATTTTGGTTGTCTATAATATGTATATTTTTTTAATGGTTATTTTATGTTTATGTTGTGAATTATGTAGATTAAAACTGATCACTTTATAAAATATCTTCTTTAAATATTATTTATGTTCCTTAAAGTTTTTCACAAAAATACATTTATGCCTCTAGATGAGTACAGTACGACACTATAATATATTTTTCGTTTTTTTTTTCATAGGCAATGAAGAAACATAAAGTAAAGATTGAATGGGAAACTGCTGTGGAACATGTGTTAATGTCTAGCTATGATATAAGTTATGGAGCTAGATCTATTAAACACGAAGTGGAAAGATCCGTTGTATCCTTATTGGCTCTAGCCCATGAGAAAGGAGTTATTAAAGAAAACGCTGTAGTAAAACTTGCCGCAGACTTGACCAAAGGGGATAATGGGATGATTTACCTTTTAGTCTTACACAAAAACAAATTTGTTCCTCTAGACGAAGTCATGAAAAATTGATCTTTAATTGTGATAATTTTATTTTGTAAAATTTGAATATGTTTTTTGTTCGTTCAGTTCTTACAATATATATATCAATATGCATTTAGATTGTTGATTATGTACTTTAACATTTTTCTAATTTAATAATATGGATTCTGATAAAAATGAAAAATATTTAGGATTATTTAACTGTAAGGTTAAAAATATTTGTTGTTTTAAGACTTAAAATATTAAAATAAAATCTTTGTTTCAACAATACATATTATTTTTAATAACAGATTATGTTAAATTAAGAACAAATGGTTAAGATATAAAATAATTGTTTTATTATAATCACAATTCACACCAATTTCTTATTTAAATTTACTTTTAACAGTTCAGTACCTCGACAAATTTATTTGGAATACATTTTTTTTTTTTAATTCTGTAATTAAGTAATAAAAATAATAATTTAGTAATTATTTTGGTGTATTGTCATTAACGCCATTTATAACGATTCCCTAGTTGTAGAAAATGTATTAGCCATTAGATATTGCCTCTCGGAGCTCAGAGGGAAAAGGTAATTGGTTAAGTACCTATTTTGTATTTACTCTTTAAAACAGAGTATTCCTTCAAAGTAATACTCTATAAAAAAAAACTGTAAATATTTTTAAAAAAGAAACTCAAAATTTTAATTATTTACATCGCAAATTAGAGTCTTTTGTTAGATACCTAATCGATCACTCGGTAAATATACTCAAATATATTTCTTAGCCCAAAGGTATAATCATCTGAAAACACCGAAGCTAAAAATAAATCACAACTGATCATACTATTTTTTCAAGAAAGAATAAGGTCACGAAATGGGCCCGTTGCCAACATTTCCTAGTTTTCCAATTTTTACCTGTCAATGTTCATTGAACTGTGAACAAAATGGAGATGTTTCTACGGTTCACAAATATTTCCAAGTGGCTGAGGTAGTTTACGCTATCTTAAACCGCAAAAATACAAAACATAATGAATACAACTAAATAGCCAGCCTTGGATAGGACCTTATTACTAGAATATTACTTAGGTTTATATAATTATTATAAATTGTTAATGTTTAAGTATTTTTGGCCGGGGCGTCAATATCGATAATTTATGTTGTCCCCGTCACAAACCATTAAATATTTCATAGGTAATAGTTTTTGGCTATTAGTTGTCAACTTTAATTTAATTAGTTAAGTTGTAAGATAGTGAGGCTAAAAGTAAAGTACAGACGTGGGTGTTGGCTACTAAATAAGAATGATAATGAGAAAATAAAAATGAGAACGTTGAGATGGATGTGTGAACTGCGTAGGTTAAACAGATTAGGAAGAGTATATAAGAGGATACTATTTAAGTTGTTCGGTCTGTGCTTGGTTTTTTTTAAAAGTGATTTTATCATCCAGCCAATTTTTTTTTGTGATTAGTTTGCACTATTTTTTGTTTTAGATTTGTGAATGAGCTCGGTGAACGCTTCAGTGACTTCAGATCTCTAGCTCAACTCTCGAGTACTTCACGTGTATTTTTATTTTTCTATTAACACAAGGGACATTTTAGTAATTAATTTAAACAATTCTAGCTTTAAAAATTTTACAATAAAAAAAAAAAAAGCATTTAACATCATTAATTCAAATTCAAATTTAAATACCTGAAAAATACAGAGCTTAATCACCCTCAAATTTGTTATTAAAATTGCGCATATGAATGCAATATACGCTACGCTTTATAACCGGAACTTTATTTACCAATAATTTTGCTTATACTTTATATCAAAGTAATTATAAGTAGTACAAGCTTTTAGAGTAGGTACTACTTTCCAAGCACTATAGTCTACAATAGTTATAATTTGATTTTCTACAACTACATACTGATATAACAAATAGTCTATACTCGACAAAATAATTTAATTATTTTATAGCATAATGCAAAGTAAAACTATTTGAATATTTAAATAATGTTAAAGAATGTTCTTTAACATTCTTAATGTTTTAAGAAATATTTTTTAATTTAAATGATCATCACAATAATTTAATTGTAATAGTTCACTTTTTATAATGGAACATGGTCATTTAAAATAATGAATGGTAAATTTAATGACTTAAAGGATTGATTTTTAAAATTAAATGTAGGTATTTTATTAAAATATATTTGAAAAAATCACACTATCGCTCAGTTAGAATAAATAGCTAAATTTTCAATTTTAAACGCGTTCATTACGATAGTTTATTTTTAAAAAAAGCAATTTAAATCAAACGTAGATCAAGCGTTTGTATTTTGAAAACATTTTATTTTTGCTCTACCTTTTTGTGTAGTTTATAATATTAATTTGAGTCTCCCGCAATATTGTTACCAATTACGATGGCGCGCGTTACACCTATGTATTTATCTATTATATTGTTAATTATTACAACACATTATATTGGAGGAGGAAGGTTGAGTATAAGTATAGTGCATGTCATGTCTATGCGTTTCATAGAACAAGTAAAATATTGAGTATAGGTGTACCTATGCAGTAAGAAAACGGAGAAGCGAGACGCGAAGACAAGAAACTAAATCGAAACAGGCAAATGCTCCTACCCGAAATGTATGCGAAAATTCCATTCGACCTTTGCCCCGAGCATATATCATATATATATATATATTTTTTTTTATAAATTGTGTGATAGTCGACGGGAAAAGGGTGTATCGTTGCGGCTATGCTATAGATCGGTCGATTTACATACGATTTGCTATAAATTCGGCTATGCAAGTGCCATTTTTTCGTGCCCGCAACCGATAAGAATAAAGAAAAAATAATAATAAAAAAACCTTGTCATCCATCTGACACCGCGACGGTCATGTGCCCTGGTTGACGTGCACGTAACAAGCTCAAGCTGTATAACTGACACGGGTGATGCGTAAAACTGGAGATTAATAAAAAAAATGTATTTACATACATATATGTTATATTCATGTATAGACACCCAATACTAGACACCCAATACTATCCGACCGGTAACTTGTCCTTTGACGGGTAAATTTGGATTTTCCCTGAAGTTTAATAGCATCTAATATTTCATACTAGGAAAACTAAATTCGAAAATGTACACGGCCGCACTATAGTGGACACCACGAGTAAATTAGTTGCTGAGTAGTTTCTGAATCCTATTTCCGCAGTACACGCAGTACTGTTCAGTATTGTAACGACCGTCCACCGATATATACAGCCATAATCGATTAAATAACTTCACTGGGTAAACTCACACAATATGTTGTCGTCCTCATGCCCACAATAATAGTTACATTAATACAACAGCTGTTTAAATACATGTTATATATAGTCACCGTCGTGCAATGTTATATTTTGTAATTTGGACACGGTTTGTTTCCTTTTGAAAATACACCGTTGTATGGTCTGTTTTTGTTCTCTGCTAGTCTTCACTTCGATTCTAGAGATGGTTGATCGCAACATACTATACAGTTATTAAACGAATTCGGGTCGTTGGATAAGACCAAGACGGTTATCGTAGCATTCCACAAGGCTTTTTGCCCGGAAAGTTAAATTGACCCGCAAAACGCACCGAAACAAAAACAGACGAGTAAGACGACACAACTATGTAAATGCTTTTGTAGGTGCAAAAGTATTCGGTTTCGGAAATAGAATAAATTAGAACAAAGCGCAATACTTGGACCGGAAAGACAAACCGGTAGATCACATTCTCAAAGTGTTTACCGCTTATATTAACATTCCACTATACTAACTCGGGTAGGTAAATTGATTTGGGTATTTTTGAAAATGACCATAAAATTGAAACATCTACGCATATTTGTTTAGTAGTTTTTTTTTTTAAAAAAGGAACGTTCAATACATTGTTATCCCGCCGTACCTACCTCGAGTAATCAATGTAATATACACCGTGAGATAATATATTTTATAATTGCCCGATTTCACGTGTTATTTAAGATACACTACAATAATAGCAGGAAGGTAAATCAAAGTTAGTAAGTACAGTAATTAGAATACACAAGGCTATTAATTAGAAAACTGATATATCATATTTTATAGTACTTCGGCATAGCCAGCCTGGCATGGTTTATTAGCTCTTGACTTCGCACTGTGACTTTTGAACGCAATAATAATTAAACGCAAACCCGTAATAATATAAACATCTTAAGTGCAGCTCTATATATAAACGTATAGCGTTTATGATATAATAACGCTGTAGGTGCTACAGTTATAATATACTATAAGGAATAATTTAATTAAAGTTTATTTTTTTGTAGAAGCGTTCTAAGCTTACTAGTGAACAAATACAAATTTTAGTGTTATAATATGTTCAAGAGGAATTCAAATAATAATGACTGGCTTCCCAGTAGCGAGATCCTAGACTGGGACTTTTATGTGGCATAATATACATACATACATTGTAATGGAACGGCGACTTGTGTAGGCAATTCAGCTACACTACACAAAATGAATACTTGTACCGTGAAAAACGCATGACAGCACACAGTTTGAAATTTTAATTGTTGTTCCTAGACGCTTAAAATTTGTATTTCGCTCTTTCTAGAATTTTATATATTTTTGTATTAATATTCACTTACATTTCGTGTTAATACTTATGTTTATTTCCTTGGCGTTGTGCCAAAATCTACAATAACCCTATCATATTATTATATTATATTAAATATTATTATATTTTGGGAAAGCACACTAAAAACAGTTGAGCAAGAAAGATAATTGTGAATTATTTATGTCCATTACACAAATCTGTCAAGGTAGTTTGATATGATTTTTTAATAACATGATAAATTCAAAACTGACTTCTGCCATGACGACACTGATTTGTAATTATTTTGCCAATAAACAAATACCGGTTGCTTTATGAAATATTGTGTAATATGTGTTGGCCTCGGTTAAAACTATATAAAATTCAATATGATCAATATAAAGGTTAGGTAAGAAATGTGGAAATTACTTCCACAACGGTAGACAGTATTTAAATAAAAATATATTTTAAAACCTGCAAAAAATTGTTTTCTTTTTTTGATTAAGTTATTTGCGTAGAAATTGTATACCTTTTTTTAGGTACACTATGGTACTGTATTAGGGTTTTAGCCTATTAATACATTTTATTTTATTAAAATATACATAATTTGCTATTAAACTGTTGAACTACAATAAATTATATGATTGCGTGCTAGCACGTTTACGTCACGGCAAGTACCTACTTGAAATCTAGTCTTGAACGACCGCTTGAGTATTCGTAAAAACGACAACATCGTACTTGAACGAACAAAAATTACAATAATAAGCCTAAACGTCTTATGAATAATATGCTTATAAATTGGAATTCGCCAACGTCTATGGTACTCTTGCAAAAAAAAAAAAATATATAAATAATAATAATATTACTACATTCAAACTGAAAGTTATGGTTTGGAGTTTTAGATTCGTCGTGGCGTTGAAAACTTATTTTGTTTTTGTAAACAATTTTTTTTAACGAAATTGGACCGAATTAGATTGGTAGATATTAAGCACACTTATTTATTCGTATGTGTTGTATTGGAGTTTGGTGGTGTTATTATACATTTTTGTTTCCAATAGCTGCTGTTGGAATTTTCGAACAATACGCAGCGGGTTTTATTTAGACTCAGTCCGTCAAACACATATTGTATTACTATGGTTGGGAGTCGTTGAAGAAATCCAGTAATAACATCCCGTCAACCGCAGTAGATGTGTACGTATAGGCGTTCGTGTGGCCTTAAATAGAGCATAGAAGTTTTAGGAAATCACGTTCAGGCCAACACCAAAACGGAGAACAAAAATCTAGTTATAGAAAAGTCACGTTTTGGAGAAAAAAGTTTCAGAACGGTCATATTTCAAATATAAGCGATACTTAATTTTATTATAAAAAAGAAAAAGTAGAAAAGTGTTTTTGTTCAGTGTGTAACATTTCGGTGTTCCGTGAGTGTAAGATTGCAGTTTGCCCTAATAGTAAATTATTGGTGTTAGGTTTGACTGTTTGAGACATATTCCTAGGATGTTTCGACATTGTCTTTTGAACAGTTGTCAAGTGTGTGCAGAAGTTTGCGGGTTTTCTTTACACATCTATTCGAAATGACGTCTCAATTGTTGATACAATAATAATAATTATAAATAGTGTGGACAATAAAATCCCTTCCAAGTACAGTATACCGTACAAATCGATAGTACTTTGGGGAGCTATTATAATATTATTAGTTTACAGTTTACATGCAGCGTGTATACTGTTTAGTGTGAAAATACCAGTTTTGTAAACTCAATTAGTTTACATTGTAAAACTTAACAGGTGCGACAATTTAAACTATAAAGGCGTACATACGTTCAATACGGTTTGCCAAAGTTTTGCTAGCTATACTTACACAAGTTTTTGTCAAAGGAAAGACCTATTAAAGAGGATAAGTACGGAATGTTTTTGATTATGCTTGCACAATCGGTAAAAACGCACACACACACACACACAAAACACACCGACATATTTTTTCATCATCATATTTGTAACTGAAAGTCTTAAACATAAATATAATAGTACATTGCAATATGACTAGATCGACTTAATATACTAGTTAAATGGTAACAAGGAAGATTGACTATAATATTATTATGATATATAATATATTTTTTATACAAAAACATAAAGGAAATTAATAATAAAACAATCACGTGCAACGCATGTCTGAATAAATGTTGTGTTATCAATTACCATTAATATAACAAATACAATATGCGATGGATGTTTTTTCTCCTACTACTAACTTATTATTATTTAATAGTTCATAATAACATATTATAATATAATATGAATAATATTGCACACACCGAAAAAAAAAAGTATGTTTCAGTCGAATACTACATTCAAGTAACATGATAATTTAATTTGGCGAGTTATATAAATAATTAATTAATAATAATCATCAGACGGTTGTGTACTTAAAAAATGTGCATTTTTTTCAACTAACGGGTTAACTAATAGTTATTATAATATTTTATAGATATGATCGCCCGAGGATTTAGTATCGTGTTTTTACAGTAAAAAAATATTTTCTTGAATTTAAAACAAACATAATAAATAATTATCATTACAACGTGTGTGACTTGGCACAATAATTATTGGGTCGATCAAATTAGGTACATTATAGCTTATTTAAAGACTTAAAACAAGATAAATAAGAAATACAATATGTATAATGACGTGCAATTTAAGGTTAAAAATAAATGCATCAGTTTTCTTTTATTACAATGCGAGGTATTATTTTTTTATATTAAATAAACAATGTTTGGAGGTAATTTTTATAACAATATCTAATGTGTTTCAAATCGGATCGGACGACGTTAGGAATGCGGTAATATTGGCAAATGTCAAGAAAAACGGAAAATAACGGAAGTAACCGCAAAAGATAAATATTATTTTTCTATAAACGATAACTTATCGGCTTTGTATTGTTTAAAGTCGAGAGGTTAAGGTCTATATATATTTTCTCTTTCTCTTTATTATTATTTATAAAGAAAAACTCATTTAAGAAAAATTAAACTAACCATAGGGTGGTTTGGTAAACGTATAATACTGAATAATAATGATAGTAAGAATAATTCTGGCATCATTCTGATATTACTGCTTTTTGAGTATTATCTATTTTTATTTAAAACCGTCGTTCTACTTAGCTATTATTATTCATGGTAATTAATGTTCGAAAATGATTTTAAACAATTCTTAACGAAACTATTTAAAATTGGTTAGTTTTTTGGAACAAAAATTGTTTTTTATTTTAATAATCATTTTTGCGGATTAGGAGTTTTTGAAATGGCCAGGACGGCGTGGTGGGACATACTATACTGTAGACTGTAACTTAACATAAATTTAGACAAATAACAATAGCAGGTACTCGTATAACTTAAAATAATACAATAGTAGAATGTGACAACAGAGTAACGGTGTATAATATAATATAGTAAAAGAGTTTTAAGGAAAAATCCGGTTTAACAATAAATATCACAATAACAAATCATAACAAGAATACTATACACTGGTGGTGAGCGTGGGAGTTTGTGCAGGCCACAAGGGACATGCACACTGTTGATATTGCGGTCGAATAGAGGTGGTGACTTGATTAGCATTATAAAAAATACCAGAATTGGGGTTGGTTATTGCTTAACACGCACACGTCTTGCGGGCAACGGTGCAAAAATGGGTATGGCTATAATAAGAATATTATCATCATGCTATATACTTATTTCATAACAACGGTGGTGTCTAAATCTAAGCGATAAAATCGCATCATCGATTTGTACCGGTCTACAAAAAAAAAAAAATGAACGACTCAAAAAAAGCCAAACGGTGGCCAAAAAAGAACTCGTTTTACGTTCGAGTGAGCTGAAATCGAATCTGACATGATCCAAAAAAAAAAAAAAAAAATGGAAAAATTAGTTGGCAACGTACTGTGTCGTAAAGACGTATCTGTCATCAGATTAGACTTAGCGTTGAAAGTAGTGGTTAAAAAGAAGTCTGGATTAAAATGTAGGTACTATTTTCTGAAAAATGTGATTTTTGAACCGTGTGAGTTGCAATTTCAGCCCACTCACTTCTCCCAATCGAGTACTTCACATAGCGTGTAGCGACTTACCGTCTAATTTCGTTCTTATGTATACACACTCGTTGGGTTCTCCGAATCCACACGCAAGTATTAAACTTAAGTACTTTTAAAAGTTTACACATTACAAAATACACAATATATACATACAATAATGTAGGCCCCCGCGTCTAAAGCGGATATAACAATATACAATTTATACATACATACGTTTATACACATTATCATAAGCACAACGACACACACACACACACAAAATACCGTAGTGCGATATCGAATTACTACTGTATTTACTTTGGATGTATTTTGGAGATTACACCAGCATCGTTTACGGCGTTTTGAAAATCAATCAACGGCCACCCTTTCTCGTATGGCGCTCGTTCCTCACAAGCTGGAAACCCGGTGCCCAAGAAAACGTTAATCTAGAAAATATTATGCGATCGAGTTACGGGGTCGAACTATATGTTAGAACCGCTCCAAGATAGACGGCGTATCCACCTGCCGTTGAACTATTAGTATTAGTAGAACGTTATTAGTAGTACGTACACAACAACAGACTTAAGTAATATTTGAAGAGCTCGGGCTAACTACATAGTATTTACAAGGAAATCCAAGAAACAGAGTTAAGTTCTCGATAAAGATGTAATGCTTGTTGCGGAATAAAATATGTTTGACGTCTGTACAGAACTTTTATAAGTAACTGTTTAAAATCCCTATTCGGATGGTCCTTCGAACCTTTGTGGGATCTTCCGCTGTCAATTGGACGGTATTAAAATTACTGAAAAGTTAATGGCAAGACATTGTAATCCACGGTACGACCCGGTTGGTATAGTTCAACGGGTTCAGGGAAACGCGTCGGCGGTAAATGGAAATTCTCAGAAAGAAGGTCAGACGTTTTTTAAAGTGCCGTTGGTTCGTTTTATTATGGTATCTATTTTTTACTATTTTAATATCATTGAAACTTCTAGCGTGCTACATTTTGAAAAAATCTCAGAATCTCAAAAAAATGGAATACGTATAGTGATTTTTTGCCGCACCGCATCAAAAGCAAATCATAAACGTCCGTCGTTTGGAACAAGATGGGGTTTTTCTTAACCGATTTCATACTGTATTATGAATCACACTGTCGTAGGTATATTCAAAATAAATAATATTTTTTTAAAAAATTCTGTGAGAATTTGTTTTTACCTACCATCAGCTGATTGTATTTTATCCGGTATAGTTATAACTTATAACGGTATTATCTTATAAAAGATTATTATATCTTTAGTGTAAACGTCTTTGGGGAAACAATTAACTGGTTTGAAAATTAGCGATTTCGAGGCAACTGAATTTATCCATTTGGAACCATAGGGGATCATGTTGTAACACAAAGTATATTAGTTACATATCGCTACCGAGAACCACGTGTCGACAAATACATTGGACGTGATCACACGAGGTATTCGACCGGGAAACGAGGGATGTCGTTGAGTTGATGCGGTCAGATGATGCTGGTCTCCTCGGCCTCTATGATCACCTTTTCGGACGAATTGAGTCGGGACTGCCTGAGTGAGGCCACGGACGACCGGGGACTGGTCAAGGCGCCGCCGCCGGCGGCCTTGCCGTTTTGTTTGATGGTGACGGCGTTGACGGTGCCGACGGACGACCCGAAGTCACAGCCGCCGCCGGTCTTCCGGCGGTGTCTGAAGGACGTCTCCGAGTTGAGTACCACGGTGCTGTAGCCTTTGCAAAAGCACCAGTCGGGATAGTGCGTGGTGAGTATGCGGCGGAACGCGTCCCGGAATTCGGTGTTGAATATGGAATAGATGATGGGGTTGAACGCCGAGTTGGAGTAGCCCAGCCAGGTGAGCACCTTGAACGCGGCGTCGGGTATGCACGTCTTGCAGAACGCGGCGATGATGTTGACGCAAAAGAAAGGCACCCAGCACAACAGGAACGTGCCCATGATGACGCCCACCGTGATGGCGGCCTTGTGGTCGCTCACGTGGTACGGCGACGTGTGGTGGTGGACGGCGGTCAGCGTGGACGACGCCATGGCCGTCGTGGTCGTCAGCGGCCGCGTCACCGCCCTGATGCTCTGCACGTGTTTCTGCGCGTAACAGTACAGCCGGCAGTAGATGCCGATCATCACCACGCACGGTATGTAGAAGCTGATGCACGACGAAATCACCGCGTACGTGGGCGTCAAGTCCAGCGCGCACGTCATGTACTCCGCCTGGCCCGCCTGACCCGCGTGGAACACTATCGGCTTGGGCGGCCTGTGGATGCTCAGTATGCAGATCGGGACCACCGAAACGAACGCGGCCAGCGCCCATACTCCGGCGATGCCCAACAGAGCGTTCCTCCTGTTCAAGTATGTCGTGTACCTGTTCAACACAATAAATGAAAATTGTCAATAACGAAATTCAATGTAAAATACCTTTAAAAAAAAAACATGATGATAATTTTGTCACATAAATTAATATAAGTTATAAGTTTAACAGTATATTAAATCATATTTTGTATTTTAAGTGAACTGCATTGAACGGTTGATTGTAAAGAGGGTAAGTTGCGGGGCCAGCTCCATTAGAAAACGGATGTATGAGCGCGTTTAAATTACTTCCATCCTGAAGAGAGAAGGACGTCAATGTAGGTTTACTTGACAGTATTTTGAGTGGTGGACGCTTAAGGCGACCGACCCGAATAGCTGCTTTGAACAGTGAAAGAAGATACAAAATATATAAAGTATTATTATGTTTTACTGTCTATATAGTATGCCACGCGTTTCCATTACCTTTGAGCGCTCACAGCGTTTCTAATCCACACCAAGATTGTTGTTGTTCGTGCTTGCCAATAATGCCAAGGTCATTATTGGCCACGTGTAGTTTATATTTTAATCTATGATAATATTTAAAGCTCAGAGATTATAATGTTAATATTATACTCTCTAAAACCAATGTCGTGTAGGCGGTTAATCCGTGTTACTTTTTTCACGCGTGTATTGCTATACAATTATTTTATGTCCATCTAATTTATACCAAACAAACGCAAAAGCTGCTATCTACTTAGAGAGATCGATGCGCGCGGATTTCAAAGGCCAATCAGCCGTTAAGTGGTGATTATAAGAAGGAAATATAAAGGGAAAAAAACCGTTTTGCCGAAATTCCAACCCACCGTCGACGGCTGGAAAGCGTGACTGTTTCGGACGTGTATGGCATGATTTTATTTTACACAATTCGATACTGTTTAACGAAAAGTCAGTTTTTATTTTTTTTTTTGTTAAATTTATTCATAAGTTATAACGTAATTTTGTATAAATACTGTACACGGTTTTGTGTGCGTTTTCTTCCGGATGACTTTTAATATTTACCATTATAATATTTTACTTAGGGTGTAGTGCAACAAGTTTGTTTGTATTCCGTCACCGCGTGTTCAGCTTGTTGATTCGGCCCTACACACACTCGGCACCGTACAAATATAAATATTTATAACTATTACGTTTCTGAATTATTTTCCCACAGTCCATAAACCGGTCGAAAATTCGTTTGTCGCGGCTTAGTTATAAGATATTGGAGGAATCCGCTAATTCTCAATCGGAAAGAGCGCAATGAGACAATGTGAAAACGATAAGATGTGTATGACTATGTAGAACGCATAAATGACTATAAAACCGTATAATTAAAGGGCCGAAAAGACATTGGCACAACGAATGAAGTCCTATCTGATATGCATTTTCTAACAGAATCAGATAACATATTAAGATGATAGTGAGAAGTGCATCAGGAGCTCAAATAAATTTTCTTTGCTTACTTAATAGCATCTAAAATGAATGGAAAAAATATAATGTTATATTTTGTGATTTGTGTGAATGAAAACCAACCACTTAGCGACTTGTGGTTTTTACTTGGCTGAATTAAAACCGAAATGAGGTCTTGGAAATAACGAGCGATCGAAAGGTATAAATAAATAACTCATTGTATTATAAGTGGTCGAGGTTAACGGCAAGGAGGAAAGTGTGGTTGGGCTGTTTAAGTTGAACGGATAAAATTTATATCAGTTTACTTCCGTCGCTTATGCCTTTTAAGTATTTATTCAAAATCGACTATTGTCGCTTTGCATTTTGTTATTTCATTATTATTTTCGTTTTAATAAAACTTATTATTGTTTTAATTTCAAAAATTAATAAAATCTTTGAAATAATAAAAATGTCAAATTTGACTTGGTTGTATACGCCACGGTTTCTCGTCAATTAGAATTGTAATTGTGTTTAAAAAAAAGAGGTTAAGTAAATATATTGTGCGTAAAATGAGTTATTCAAACAAAATTCAATCAGTATCGCTACTTAGTAAATGTCAAGATATGGTTAATGTTCAGTTAACATAATAAGCAACCCAGTTTTTATTGGGTTGAACGACTATTAATTAATGTGATTATAGTAAAGTTGACCGGTACATTTTGTGGTTTTCAAACAAATTTGTGCATTAACTGATTAGTCAGTTGTTTTGTTGAACCGTTATTTTTGTGATAATTGATTAATGTCTGCGTCTAGTAACGCACTAAAAAAATTGATGTTTTTTTATATCTAGGAGTTTACCGTAACCTTAGCTGGAGTAGGATTTTTACCGTGATCCGTACATCGGATGCTCACTGTGAGTGTGCAATTTATTTATTTAAGTAGAAATTTATTCGAATAATGTCCAACTATGGGGGCGTACAGTGTTTGTACAGTAAGTCTTAATAAAATCCAATAATATTATGTATTGTCATTTGTAAATATCGTTCTCTCGGGATGAAAACGTTACACACTGTTCGGTTAGCAACGTCGCATGTCTCATGACGTTTCGGAAACGTACCATCTACACCATATATTATTATTATTATACCGGGGGCGAGACGCGAATTCGATTCGATTTTTATTTTTATCATCCGACAAACGATATTTTCCTCGAGTGGAATGTAAACGCGGCCGCTTGTGTTCTCCCCGTGTGTGTATTCCTTTTATTTTCCCTATAATTTTGTTTGCCAAACGGTGTATGGAAACCGGCAGCAGGGATACGTCCACGGGAGCCGCAACGCCCTTAATATGTAAATACATACAACCGCAAACGACTGGTGCAGATATACATATATATATATATATTATATAGTATTAAGTATGTTTAAACATAACGTCGGTGTGAACAAAAAATATGCCTGTCGAAAAACACACACGCACAAAACGGGGCAGGGTTCCATGGGGCGGTTTGGAGGGGGGGGGGTGTACAATTTGCACCTTGTCCGCGGATAAAACTACCCGGGTTTGTAAGTACACGCATACGTGCGATTAAAGTAAATATAGATAATATGCTTGTTAACGCGATTCACGTTAAAACCGCGCAACGAGAAAACTTGGCATTTGCTCATTTGCATTTGTCCGAATGCGAGATTGGCCTTTTTGAACCTAAGCCGCACAGCTGATATTCAACACGGTCATCCATTGTTTCGGGGGGGGGGGGGCTAAGGGTACGCGATTATATATATTATAATATGGACCTTCTGGAGAATATTAAGTAGCCGACCCTCGCCGAGTTACCGAATTAGGTAATTAGTTCCAAGCGTCTGTGTGGGACCCGGCCAAAATCTGCACAGGCTTTTGAAATTTCATAATGGCTCGAGGAATTTCCTTCTTTTTTTTTTACCTCTGCTATTATCGTGTAGTGAAATCAAACGTTTGGGGTATTGAAATAGTAAAAATAATTTTCGAATCTACACGGTTTTGTTTTCAAACCAGAACACCCAGCAAAGGTCAACTATTTCGTTAAATACCAACGTTTTAATATGAGCGGCGTGTATTTACTACAATGTGCTGATAGGCATGACAGTTATTCGTCGACTATTTTTAAATGAAAATAATTAATGAAAATAAATATAAACCTTTAAGACAAACTTTAAGCCTTTATAGGGATCAAAAGAACAATTTACTTTCTGTGAATATTTGGGCGCAGATTTTCGACAAGGGAATATATTTCCAGGTATTTCCAGTTACTTCAAATTCAGACAAAGTAAAAAGAAACAACACAAAGACTGTTTAATGAATTCTTAATCGAGCCTTAATTTCCTTGAAAAAAACCATAAGTCGTCTGTGGATTTTTTTCACTTCTCTGTATATTCATTTAAAAATTTAAATTTCAAATAAATGCGGGTTTCATACTTCAAATGGGTTGTTTTTTTATCATAAGTGCTACCGTTTTATAAATTAAATTTGAGGGTTTGTATCTTATTGACCGTTTGGGTACGACTGTATATCAACGAAATTACCTTTTTCTCAGTGTAACAATAGACCATAATAGCGAAATGTAGAAGTGTATACCTACAGTATATTTTATTATTTTTTTCCTCATAAAAGAAACGGCACAGGAAGGATAAATAACGTTTATAAATGGTATAAAAAAATATATTAGCGTTCAACTAAGTTTACAGGTATTCGTTATTTATGTTACCCTATTTCTAACGTAAATGTAATATATATTTTAATGTATATTACTTGAGATAATATATTATTATTATTATATATATATACTATAATAGCTGTTGTAAGTTCAACACGATTCGTTTTTTTTTATAAAAAAATCTACGTGGATTGCAAAATATAAAATTACATCTTGCGAGGAGTCATATTTTCAAAACAAGCCAATAGGCCCAAAAGTACTGTTTGCATTTTTTCACTATGCAAATATGAAAATAAGATTTAAAGGTTTTATATCTATCTACATATATAAATATATGCTGAATCACAATCAATTACAGATGATCCCAATGGCTTTCTTCATTAACGCCTATTTTGAAAAAAGGAACTCCAACAGGTTTTGGTAGTTTTGTTTTAACGAGCAACTCGTGTACGGTGTGAAAAATTAAATCAAAAACAAATTGTTTTTGCACGTTCAGCAGTTCGTTTAGTTTTTGAGCAAATTCTCGAAGGAGTTGGGTGCCTTTTTCTTCTTCTCGGGGCAGAGATAATGGAACGCGACGACGACGGCGAAACCGTTACCGAGATGAATTCAAAGCTTACCAAACGCAATGATGTAAAAGACGTTTTTGGGGGCAGGGGCCCCCCGGGGGGGGGGGGGTGTTCGTTTGTTTGTCTCGCCAAACTTGCTATTAATGTAAAACGAAAACGACACAACTGCAATAGTAATTAACGCGAGTTAATGGGCTATGAGAAAACACGGTTATTGCACAACGCTGAAATTATATTCTAGACACTGTTTGATGACAATTATTGTGAAGTACACGCTACGTGCTACGTACAAAAGTGTATCCAATAAGGACAACAGGGACGAGGGACTTGGTTCGTTTGCCTGTTTTTTTTTTTTTTTATGAGGAGTAGGTACCCTGTAGAATCGTCGTAGCGCCTCGGATAACATACACTTTTTTTAGGGAATTGGGGCTTTATTTTTTGTGTGTGTACGTTTGTGTATTCGACGTTTTTAAAATGCAAATCGCGTCGTTTCGCCGATGACGATCATTTTCTCTGGAGACGCTATTTAGACTCTCAGACAATTGGACCGGCAGACCTTTTCGACCCAGGCCGCGCTATACAACGACGCTGTATATTATCCTACAAAACGCACACGCGACAAAGTATAGATACATCTCTCGGATCTTCGGATTGGGAAAGAATATTGTGTGCAGGCAAATGATTATATTATTATATTATGTTGTATTATCATAATGTGAGGCACAAAAGGAAACGGCGCTGAAAAACAACAACGCAGACGATAAAAACAATCGCATCGCTGTAATAAGATATTTGTCGCCGGTCGACCGTAAACCGCATTATCTTATCATTGACTTTGGATCCACACTTTGGGCATTTACTACTATGCAAACACACAACGGGCCTTTGCAGGGACGACTTAAGTGTTGCAGGTTAAATTCGGTCGTAGAAAACGGGTCTCCAGCGAGACGAATTCACCCGGAAACACTTGGCGGGCGGCCAAGTTCACTTTTCAAAACTCCAAAACTACTAGTCGTTACGGTTTCGCCGTAGGTGTACGTAAGTAAAGGTATAAAATAATCAACCCGTAAAGTTGTACCGAGCTTAAAGCGAGCCTTTCAGGATGTCCCGTGTATCAGTTTAATGCCCCTCAAATACGTTATAATTACAAAGTTAAGCAACCTCGACGTGTATCTATACTTATAATGCACGTCATATTATAATGTTATATTAATAACTCGTCCATTAAAGTTATAAAGATAAAAATATCCAAAATTTCTTGAAATATTTTTTTACTCTTGTTATTTTATTTTTTTGTCAACAACAAATGTCACAAAAATATATAATAAAACAAGTTCGAAGGTACCAACGTTCAAGCAGTAAAATTAAATAATGTTTAAAACTAATTGTTCCTGAATTTTTAGCTCTAATATAAATATAGTATGTATAATTGACCAATTGATACCTGGTAATATTGAATAGGACACCTTGTATCTATATACTGAGGTTTGGGGAAGGTAACTTTGGTTACCTTGGGGGGGGGGGGCGAAGAAACTGGTTTTAATTTCATATAGGATATATATATATAACGCGTTGTCCGCGCAAATGTAATTCACCGTATTATATATATATATATTTATTTATATATATTGTATAAAGTAGTATTTGATCGAGTTTGGCCTGAATTTTGGCTATCGGACAATAGATGGGTCGATGCGGCTACCGTATGTACGGCATAATGTGCTTTTAATGATTTTTCAAGTCATTACCAGGAAAACGGAACGTGACGAAAAAAAAAAATCCTAGTCTGACCTACAAAAAGGGTTTTCTCGCAGCTAATATTTTTAATATCTCTCCATAAGAAAACGATAATCGTTTATGTGCATATAGACAGCCTCGGTTATATAATATTATGTACTTGTACCTATAGTTGACGCGGGACAAACTGAAAGTAAATTTTAGAGTATTGTCTAAAACGAGAGGACGGTTTAATAATATGTTACTTTCGTTGCAGTAAAATGAAGAAAATCCACACAATATACCGAGTTAATATCCACTCAATGATATTACACATACCGTGTTCTGGTTCATTTAACATATAAAATATAAATGATGCGTCGCGAAGAAAAACAATGCGGAAATTAGGAAATTCTACCGGGAAAAAACTTACTTCTCGCTTATGGACTTCACATTCGGCACAAATTGAAGCAAGACCTATATTGATTTTTTCATAATACTTCCATGCACACTGTGCGCCGTACACAGCCGTGCGGAATAATAACGGAAAGAGTTATTGATCAACAATCGTCGGATGCAATTTATTTGATTGTTTTTATTTTGCAAATTGTATTATTCTCGCTCCACAACGTTGAATGCGCGCACAATGACTTTATCTGTTTTTTTCCCCATCTTAGGTTATTATCGTTCAACCGGGAAACGGTGTAATCCTATTAGGTGCATCCCGTATACGTTTCCTATGTATCGTTTGGTACTATTTATTGATAATAGTATTACAAACGAAAACGCCGTATACTTTTCTTACTCTTTTTTTTTTTGTGTCTCTCAGCACATCAACTTCGATAAACGTTAAGTTCAGACGGGTCGGCCCGGACGTGATCTATTCGGTCGGATCTAAGGGAAACTTGTTTTGGCGTCGCTTGATGTCTCAAAATCGATATACAAGTCCGGCCCTGTGGTAATCATAATAATATACAGGCGCCTTGAAATTCACCAGCGTGTTGTATTGCGCAGTGTATAAATATTTAGTCGGGAAGGGCAGATAACGTTGATTCGAAGCCAATTACGCAGGAAAGTTGATGAACAAACGTGACGGGCTTACTAAATACTGTACGCTAGTAGTCCGTCTCGGAAATTGAAAATAAAGTCTGATTATCGGTCCGAATTTTATTTTGTTTTCATGTTAAATCCACTTGGATACTCCTGGCGAGAACGTTTTATAACGCTGATATACGTGATACGACTATCGCTTAATTATTAATGAAGTTTCCCGTATTATTATACCTTATACAGTACACGGTTTAACACGGCGCAATTAAACCCAAGACGGTATTATCACGGTAATGGTATTATGTACAATATGTATATATATATAGATGTTATGTTTAAGTATAGGACATGGCTTTTCTGAGAAAAGTTTTCTCGACAATACTGTACAGATATATGTATTATATGATTATTGTTTATATATATTATCGTACCAATGAGTATTTTATTATATTTATTGATCTTTAAATTTTAATTATGTCATTTTGGCAGACAAAAAACAAAAACGAACAGCGAGTATTCTCGATTGTATTTAGTAGTTAATTATATACTCGAGTGACACTTTGGATTCGCGGCTCGGAAAAGTCTGTCTCGTTGTTCTTAAATTATGAAAATGCCCTAAAAAAAAAACATTATGTCGAAATCGATACATTCTCAGCTACGCATCGCAACACAAAAATGAAAAGATTGTTAAGTTTAAGTAAAAGTGTTTAGGAAACTTCATAGTTATTTCTAGTAATTTCCTGAAAAACAATAAAACTTTATATATCTTGTTGTTATTTTGTGAGTGCAGTTTTAAAGACACGAGTTTTCGAAATTAAACCGAAGGTAGATCTAATGTGTACAAAAACAAGTCTAAAAATATGTGTTAAAACTTTTTTTATTGTGGAGTACCTATAAAAACTACTAAACACCATTAAAACTTGATTTTATAGACTAAAGTAAATATTGTGTCTTTACAGTGATTTTAACTAGCTTATTGAGAAATGTTTTTGTTAAAACATGTGACTTGCATTGAATGGTTTCACATGAGGGATTTTTTTTAATTTAGAATGTAATACTTTTTACAAACTACTAACTTCTCGAATGTCGACCTTGTAATGTCGGTGTATTTTTTTAGAAAACCTTTACAGAAAAAATCACTATTAAACCTGACATTTATTTTTGCGCTAAAAATGTTTAAAAACAGTGTAGGCGTACTTTAAATACAAAACAAAAACAGTGAGAGTTTTGATAAGTTTTCCAAAGTTATGATTTCAATGTTTGTATTATATTTTGTGTTAAAATTTACGATGAAAATAAATAATCGCAATATAACAAAGATACCGAATTTAAAAAGATACACTGTAGTACATTGTTTTGTGTTTAACTGTCAACAAGCATTATATTTTGTATTATTTGCTCCCTTCGAAAATGTCCGTTTCATATCTTTTGACGTATGTTTTTTTGATAAGACGTCTCGAGCATAAAATAAATCCGAAAAAATAAGGTTATCGAATAAAATCCAATGCTTACATATTAATAACCGCGAGAGCTCATTTGTTACTCATATGTATACTTGTAAAAAAAAAAACACTTACCTGAGCGGATCTTTGATGTGTATGTATCTGTCTAACGATATGGCGCATAGATTCAGTATGGACGCCGTGGAGCACATCACGTCGATGGCTATCCATATGTCGCAGAACTTGGCGCCGAACATCCAGTAACCCTGCAAGTCGTTGACTAGAGCGAAAGTCATGACTAAGGCCCCGACGAACAGGTCGGCGATGGCCAGAGACGCCAGGAATAGGTTGCCGATCCGCCGAAGACCGCGGTCCGTGTAGATGGCCATGCACACCAGCACGTTGCCGGCGATCGATAGGAATATGACGACCACCAGAAACGAACCTGTGCCGATGACACCAAATCAAAAGAGTAACATGTTAAATGTAAATTCGTGCGAACCATTAGGTATTATTATTATTATTATTATTATTATGCATTCTATCCATGTGTGACTAACCGATGCAGAACAACGGCAGTGCGGTCAGAGCGTCTTCCGCGTTGTCTTCGTAGTCATCGTTTTCCAACGTCCCGTTGTTGGACGTGTTCGGTACTGACTTGGCATCCTAAAAGTGAAAAATCAATCAATCGATTAATTAATTAAACGAATAACTAACGTGGCGTAGGTTATTGCCGCGAAACGAGGAGAGCGAATATAAGGGCAAATCGGCTGATGAGAATAGTGATTGATACTTGACTCGCTGCAAAACAAAGTCCTATCAGACTTAACCGTCATAACCGACGCCCCACTGACACGCCATGTATATTGTGTAAAACTGAGCCGGACCCACCGGGCTAGTCTCTATGGCACTGAACTTTTCCGCTGAAATTTTAATACTTCTTGGGCCGCCCGACGATTTAAGGTCTCACGTGCAGACGACATTCAGATGAACAAAACGGGCTCGGATCACACGAGTGGAGACCGAGACGACTAAACTTGTTAAATAATATAACAAGGGTGGCCGACATACGTGACATGTTGCTATGCGCGTGACGAAGGTACCACGACGGTTTTTTGAGCTTTAAAAAAATATACATGTTTGCAACAAAATGAAAAGCTTTTTACTTCTGCCGTGCTGGAACCCATTTCTTTTCCCGTCGTAGATTTTAACGCTCATGATCAACATGATGCATTACCCGCGTATTATGTGTTGTTTTACGCTGTAGTTTGTATACAAAAAAAAAAAAAAAAAACGGCCCAAACTCAAGGAGTAATGCTAAAATAGAAAACTTACACACGTTGCGTTGCGTTTTTTTTTATTGTCGGACATAAAGTACAATGTGTCCTAAGTTTAATAAAAAGGGCTCGAAATTTCAACCGACGAATTACTACGCAAAACGTCATACGTTGTGACTGAAGGATTATTATCAGTAATTTCTTGGGACACTTTACATAATTCACAAGCGCAATTTACACTAATGGCTGCTTATATTATTCATACTATAATATTATTATATTTGAAACGCTCGTTAAATATTAAACTTGCCCTGCGGTAGTCGAAATACCGACACGTCAAAAGAATAATCAAGGGCAAGAAAATTACAAGAAAATTGTTGTTTCAAGGTAAACCAAAAAAAGGAACTGCTCATCCGGAGAATAGTGAAACCCTCTTTACTCAAAATATTTGTCACGTTTTATCTAGCTAAGTTATGTAATAAAAAAAAAATATACTAGTTTCAAAACTAAATGTTTCTTTGTCAGGTTGTAGATATATATTTTTGAAATGGCCGAACTGAACTTTCCGGATGTACATATTATAATAATTGTCAGGTTTCCAACGTATGTGTTCGTGCGGTCGCTTCACACTGTAATCAGTTCAAACTGATATGAACATATATACCGAGCAAAGCATCCGTTATAGTCATATTCGATCTATACCTACTGGGTGTGTGGTACAGGTGCATCGTTTAATCGGAATACCGTGCACTAACTACAATAACAAGACTTCGGCGTGGGGAAAAACTAATGGTTGGTAAACAAAAGAAAATGTATTTTACCGCGAAAAAAGTCGTCTCCCGGGCTGTTGCTCAAGGCGGAAAGTGAAAAGCAAAAATACTCATATAACTTTCGCATATACTAAGCTGTTTTATATTTGCCACCTGAATTTACAAATTTTCCTCGGCGACGCTGTCCTGGGTACCAATTTGTATGCGCAGTGTACCCGCGAAAACTATCGCTCGCTCGTCAAGAATATTAAAAACCCATTTTGCCGAGAGTCGCCGGAAAGCTCCAAGTATTAACCGCTTTCATTTAGTTGTCCATTAACTGCGGGTATACGTGCCCGAAAGTGCTAAGCGCCGAGGATGAGTTTGTAAGAGAGAAAACAAGCAGTTTTAATTATAAACAAAAACAAAAAATACCGCAACGAAGCTAAAATATTAATAATATACAACAGAACCCCTTAAAAAAAAAAAAAAACCATAATATCGGATATAATGTATCAATATTTATTCAGAAATACACAAACACTATATATATATATATATTCGAATGTCATATTATATTTCGCAAACTCAAGACAAAAAGTGCTCAACACAAATATATCATAATCAAAACTTTTTGGATTTGTTTTCGTGACAGACCATTTGATACGTTGAATACAAATTGATCGCTTGCCAAGTTGTGTTCACCGTTTGATGGATTCGTTTCAACGATACCTGTTTTATTGTAATTCCGTGAAACCAATTTTATCGGATTCGACGCGATTCTGCTAAGGTATTTTTTTTTTTAATGTTTATGTATTGCTTTTATTTTTTTTTTCCATAACGTGATGAGCACCGTGAATTTTTTTTATATAAAAACTGCATAATATACAAACAATAATACGCCGTTTTGAGTGTACCTACATGCGTGTGTTTCTTAAGTCTAAATTTATATATTTTTTTTTATGCTATTAAAACTTCTCGAGGAACGGATATTTTAATGAAAACTCGGCACAACAGCGTCGAGTGTTTAGTATAAACTGTTTGTTATGTGTTAATTTATACAAAAGTTATTCTAGTAAAATTAAAACGAAAAGTTGCACAGTAAAGAAACTTAATGACAATTTCAAAGAAAAGCTAAGTTATACAATTCCAGTAGTCGCAATACGTTTTTCTCTTTGATCATGAAAAGTATCAAACATCATTGAAATAAAGTGAGAAATCCAAACGTGTATTATGAATAGTGGAAAAAAAAGTAAGGCAATTGAAAAATATGTATAAGAAATAGTTAGAAATTATTTCAAATAAATTGTGAGGTGTCTTGTGGGTCATAATAACACAAAAAGAATACATATTTGGGTGGCTGCGGTTCGAAGGTAATGCAAAATAGATAAGTGATTAAGTTACTTCCATGAAAACTTTTCAAAGTAAGAAACATGCCTGATCGTTGGAAAAACATTTTATTATCACATTATAGTAAATAGTCCCACACAGAATTTCAAAGTAGGTTCTACGTACCGAATTGAAGCAGTTTTACAATGTTCCACTATATTATTAGATACGTTTTGAAAAATGTAGGTATAATATAAAATTACATTGGTATTTCGACATAGCTTTCAATTTCTAGCTACAGTATTTCATCAAAGCGATTTTCTTAAATGGAATTTTATCATTTTTAAATGAATGGTCGCAGCATCTCATTTCTGGCTCGTTTATTTAATATAATATATATATATATATATTAAATGATAAATGCTATATATGTATAGCAGACCGTTGCTGCTGCCTACTTTTCAGTTTTCAACTTTTAATATTCGCGTTTAATTAATTAACAGCACTTTTCAGAGAAAATGGATTGTTTTGCACGAGTTCTGGATTTCAGGTTGTAATTTATCTTATAAAGGCATTAGCTAAGAATAAAAGTTCAAATTGTTTTCTACACAGCCACAGAGTGTTTAATGCAAAAGACTTAGTGAATATTGTTTTAATATATGAGTGTAATGATAGTACACAAGTGGTGAACTTATGAAATCCTAAAGAATGATTTCGTGGACTCAAACAGTGGTGAAGTCGGGAAAATTTTCCATCACTACCCAGTTCACTTACCTTGACCTTTTCGCAACCATATTGTAATAAAAAAAAAAAAAAAAGAGTCCGAAAATTGCATTTGAACGCGTTACCGCTGCGACGGCATTTTATTTGCAAAAGACATTGTATGCGAACGCGATTAAGCAACGAACCTTCTGAATCAGCATATTGTGGCAAAACTGAGAAGATATTAATATATATCACGTGGAGCGAATAAAAAAACGGTGACAGAGAGAGTGATTTTAGATGACCAACCCCATTTACTATAAGGGGCAAGGTGAAGAAAAGTCAACAAAACATTTTGTATTTTATTTGACCTAGTATCATTTCAACACGGACCGGAGTCCGGCTAACCAATAGATACGGAGCCTAACGAAAGTAACCGAGCCATAGTCTCGACCAGAGAAAATATTAATACTTTATTTAAATTAGGTCATGGAAAGCTTACACTTATAATAGCTTTCTACGCGTTATGTGCAAATCTTTGAAGGAACTATTAAATTGTTTGCTGCTCAAGGCCAAGTTCATTAAATACGAGAAATTATTTTGGCTGAGTTATCAAACACTCGATAAAAAAAAAATACTATGAATATGAAATCCGCATTTTTAAATGAAAACACTGATTATTTGACCATTGGGTCATTTTGGGTTTGCACTTGAGTTATTTTTGCCAACTCCGGATGTGTATGATTATAAAACAAAAGTGCGAGGATACGTCCAATGCCATAATCCTTATAGAGACAAATTGTAATTCAATAGAAATATTGTTACTCAATATAAACGCTCTCACAAACGACCTACGGGTTCACTAACGGTTTACGCACGACGACGTGCAACGCAGTCACGTCCGTTATGTATAATATAAATATTATATTATGGTACTGTATAAATATATATATATATTAATAAATGTATACACTATACACAGTGGGTGGTAGGCGTCCAACGCGTTAATTAACAAGTGCCAAGGAAATCCGATTAAACGTCGACTTGTAAACGCGTAAACACAAATTAATCGACGGCCGGCGCTGCCAAACCTAGTATGTATATCCTATGCGCTGTAATTATCCAGTCCTTAGTATGTACATACAAATATAAGTATATAAGCCGATGCGACTTCCGAGTTGATTAAATACCGAAGAAAAAAAATAGAGAAGAAAGAAACAAGAGTGATAGATGCTTTTATTAAGCTGCACGTCAATCGAAAAAAATCAATGGTCTTTTTTCCGGCGTAGGGAGAGATATAATATTGGAATTATTTCATTTAAATTCGCTGTCTGTCAACGGCGCGTATGATCAACCCCCCAAAAGAACCAATTTCGACACCATTCCGCCACCGTCTTACTCCGACGGTACTTACAATTTATTCTACACAATACATACATATATATATATATATGTGTGTGTGTGTATGTATATACGAGATCGATGTATGTGCAGTGTTGATGGTGGTGGTCATTTATTATTATTTTTTTTTTTTTTTTTACTTTGCCGACGCTTTTCCGAAGTATACAGTCTGACATATAGTATCAGACCGACGTGTTTCTTTCACGAC